CCAGACGTCAAACCTGACCTCAAACCTGACGTCAAACCTGACGTCAAACCTGCACCTCAAACCTGCACCTCAAACCTGCACCTCAAACCTGCACCTCAAACCTGCACCTCAAACCTGCACCTCAAACCTGCACCTCAAACCTGCACCTCAAACCTGCACGTCAAACCTGCACCTGAAACCTGACCTCAAACCTGCACCTCAAACCTGACGTCAAACCTGACCTCAAACCTGCACCTCGAACCTGCACCTCAAACCTGCACCTCAAACCTGACCTCAAACCTGACCTCAAACCTGACGTTAAACCTGACGTCAAACCTGACGTCAAACCTGACGTCAAACCTGACGTCAAACCTGACGTCAAACCTGACGTCAAACCTGACGTCCAACCTGCACCTCAAACCTGCACCTCAAACCTGCACCTCAAACCTGCACCTCAAACCTGCACCTCAAACCTGACCCTCAAACCTGACGTCAAACCTGACCTCAAACCTGCACGTCAAACCTGACGTCAAACCTGACCTCAAACCTGGACCTCAAACCTGCACGTCAAACCTGACGTCAAACCTGACCTCAAACCTGCACCTCAAACCTGCACCTCAAACCTGCACGTCAAACCTGCACCTCAATCCTGACCTCAAACCTGCACGTCAAACCTGACGTCAAACCTGACCTCAAACCTGCACCTCAAACCTGCACCTCAAACCTGCACCTCAAACCTGCACCTCAAACCTGCACCTCAAACCTGCACCTCAAACCTGACGTCAAACCTGACCTCAAACCTGCACCTCAAACCTGACCTCAAACCTGCACCTCAAACCTGCACCTCAAACCTGCACCTCAAACCTGCACCTCAAACCTGCACCTCAAACCTGCACGTCAAACCTGCACCTCAAACCTGACGTCAAACCTGACCTCAAACCTGCACCTCAAACCTGACGTCAAACCTGACCTCAAACCTGCACTTCAAACCTGACGTCAAACCTGACCTCAAACCTGACGTCAAACCTGACGTTAAACCTGCACCTCAAACCTGCACCTCAAACCTACACCTCAAACCTGACGTCAAACCTGACCTCAAACCTGACCTCAAACCTGCACCTCAAACATGCACCTCGAACCTGACCTCAAACCTGCACCTCAAACCTGCATGTCAAACCTGCACCTCAAACCTGCACCTCAAACCTGCACCTCAAACCTGACCTCAAACCTGACCTCAAACCTGACCTCAAACCTGCACCTCAAACCTGACGTCAAACCTGACGTCAAACCTGACCCCAAACCTGCACCTCAAACCTGACCTCAAACCTGCACGTCAAACCTGCACCTCAAACCTGCATCTCAAACCTGACGTCAAACCTGACCTCAAACCTGCACCTCAAACCTGACCTCAAACCTGACCTCAAACCTGACGTCAAACCTGACACCAAACCTGACGTCAAACCTGACCTCAAACCTGGACCTCAAACCAGACGTCAAACCTGACCTCAAACCTGACGTCAAACCTGCACCTCAAACCTGCACCTCAAACCTGCACCTCAAACCTGCACCTCAAACCTGCACCTCAAACCTGCACCTCAAACCTGCACCTCAAACCTGCACCTCAAACCTGCACCTCAAACCTGCACGTCAAACCTGCACCTCAAACCTGACGTCAAACCTGACCTCAAACCTGCACCTCAAACCTGACGTCAAACCTGACCTCAAACCTGCACTTCAAACCTGACGTCAAACCTGACCTCAAACCTGACGTCAAACCTGACGTTAAACCTGCACCTCAAACCTGCACCTCAAACCTACACCTCAAACCTGATGTCAAACCTGACCTCAAACCTGACCTCAAACCTGCACCTCAAACCTGCACCTCAAACCTGCACCTCAAACCTGCACCTCAAACCTGCACCTCAAACCTGACGTCAAACCTGCACCTCAAACCTGCACCTCAAACCTGACCTCAAACCTGCACCTCAAACCTGCACGTCAAACCTGCACCTCAAACCTGCACCTCAAACCTGCACCTCAAACCTGCACGTCAAACCTGCACCTGAAACCTGACGTCAAACCTGACCTCAAACCTGCACTTCAAACCTGACGTCAAACCTGACCTCAAACCTGACGTCAAACCTGACGTTAAACCTGCACCTCAAACCTGCACCTCAAACCTACACCTCAAACCTGATGTCAAACCTGACCTCAAACCTGACCTCAAACCTGCACCTCAAACCTGCACCTCAAACCTGCACCTCAAACCTGCACCTCAAACCTGCACCTCAAACCTGACGTCAAACCTGCACCTCAAACCTGCACCTCAAACCTGACCTCAAACCTGCACCTCAAACCTGCACGTCAAACCTGCACCTCAAACCTGCACCTCAAACCTGCACCTCAAACCTGCACGTCAAACCTGCACCTGAAACCTGACGTCAAACCTGACCTCAAACCTGCACCTCAAACCTGACGTCAAACCTGACCTCAAACCTGCACTTCAAACCTGACGTCAAACCTGACCTCAAACCTGACGTCAAACCTGACGTTAAACCTGCACCTCAAACCTGCACCTCAAACCTACACCTCAAACCTGACGTCAAACCTGACCTCAAACCTGACCTCAAACCTGCACCTCAAACATGCACCTCGAACCTGACCTCAAACCTGCACCTCAAACCTGCATGTCAAACCTGCACCTCAAACCTGCACCTCAAACCTGCACCTCAAACCTGACCTCAAACCTGACCTCAAACCTGACCTCAAACCTGCACCTCAAACCTGACGTCAAACCTGACCCCAAACCTGCACCTCAAACCTGACCTCAAACCTGCACGTCAAACCTGCACCTCAAACCTGCACCTCAAACCTGACGTCAAACCTGACCTCAAACCTGCACCTCAAACCTGACCTCAAACCTGACCTCAAACCTGACGTCAAACCTGACGTCAAACCTGACGTCAAACCTAATGTCAAACCTGACGTCAAACCTGACCTCAAACCTGGACCTCAAACCAGACGTCAAACCTGACCTCAAACCTGACGTCAAACCTGACGTCAAACCTGCACCTCAATTCTGCACCTCAAACCTGCACCTCAAACCTGACGTCAAACCTGCACCTCAAACCTGCACCTCAAACCTGACCTCAAACCTGACCTCAAACCTGATGTTAAACCTGACGTCAAACCAGACGTCAAACCTGACGTCAAACCTGACGTCAAACCTGACGTCCAACCTGCACCTCAAACCTGCACCTCAAACCTGCACCTCGAACCTGCACCTCAAACCTGCACCTCAAACCTGACCTCAAACCTGACGTCAAACCTGACCTTAAACCTGCACCTCAAACCTTACGTCAAACCTGACCTCAAACCTGGACCTCAAACCTGCACGTCAAACCTGACGTCAAACCTGACCTCAAACCTGCACCTCAAACCTGCACCTCAAACCTGACCTCAAACCTGACCTCAAACCTGACCTCAAACCTGCACCTCAAACCTGACGTCAAACCTGACCCCAAACCTGCACCTAAAAAATGACCTCAAACCTGCACGTCAAACCTGCACCTCAAACCTGCACCTCAAACCTGACGTCAAACCTGACCTCAAACCTGCACCTCAAACCTGACCTCAAACCTGACGTCAAACCTGACGTCAAACCTGACGTCAAACCTGACCTCAAACCTGACGTCAAACCTGCACCTCAAACCTGCACCTCAAACCTGCACCTCAAACCTGCACCTCAAACCTGCACGTCAAACCTGCACCTCAAACCTGCACCTCAAACCTGCACCTCAAACCTACACCTCAAACCTGACCTCAATCCTGACCTCAAACCTGACGTTAAACCTGACGTCAAACCTGACGTCAAACCTGACGTCGAACCTGCACCTCAAACCTGCGCCTCAAACCTGCACCTCAAACCTGCAGCTCAAACCTGCACCTCAAACCTGACCTCAAACCTGACCTCAAACCTGACCTCAAACCTGCACCTCAAACCTGACGTCAAACCTGACCCCAAACCTGCACCTCAAACCTGACCTCAAACCTGCACGTCAAACCTGCACCTCAAACCTGCATCTCAAACCTGACGTCAAACCTGACCTCAAACCTGCACCTCAAACCTGACCTCAAACCTGACCTCAAACCTGACGTCAAACCTGACACCAAACCTGACGTCAAACCTGACCTCAAACCTGGACCTCAAACCAGACGTCAAACCTGACCTCAAACCTGACGTCAATCCTGCACCTCAAACCTGCACCTCAAACCTGCACCTCAAACCTGCATGTCAAACCTGCACCTCAAACCTGCACCTCAAACCTGCACCTCAAACCTGCACCTCAAACCTGACGTCAAACCTGACCTCAAACCTGCACCTCAAACCTGACGTCAAACCTGACCTCAAACCTGAACTTCAAACCTGACGTCAAACCTGACCTCAAACCTGACGTCAAACCTGACGTCAAACCTGCACCTCAAACCTGCACCTCAAACCTACACCTCAAACCTGACATCAAACCTGACCTCAAACCTGACGTCAAACCTGCACCTCAAACCTGCACCTCAAACCTGACCTACCTGCACCTCAAACCTGCACCTCACACCTGCACCTCATACCTGACCTCAAACCTGACCTCAAACCTGCACCTCAAACCTGCACCTCAAACCTGCACCTCAAACCTGCACCTCAAACCTGCACCTCAAACCTGCACCTCAAACCTGCACCTCAAACCTGCACCTCAAACCTGCACCTCAAACCTGCACCTCAAACCTGCACCTCAAACCTGCACCTCACACCTGCACATTGATAGCCCAATCCCCATGCTTGCGTCGCCTCTTTCCTGCCCTGCCACAGGCACCGAGGCACAGCGAAGCAAAGTGTGCTGTCGTGGGCCATCGAGCACATAAGGGACGCGTGGCCCTACTGGGACCGCCACGCCGGCGCCGACCACGTCTTCCTGGCCAATGATGACTGGGCGGCGTGTGAGGTTGGCGAAGCTGGGCGGCGAGACCCGATGCTGGCGCGCAGTACAGTGCTGTCGCTGTGGGGGTACTCGGGGAACATGCCGCTCGATGCCGCCCTCCCTGGCTGCTTCATTCCCGGGCAGGATGTTGTTATCCCGCCCGTTTTGCTGCCCGAGGTGTATGAGGCGGCCATGGGCGTTCAAGGAGAAAACGGGCAGCCTGGTGGCCGGGATATTTTCTTTTTCTTCCGCGGATTTGATGGGCGGGACGTGGAGCCGGTGTTGGGCTTTAAGTACTCGTTTGGGGTGCGGCAGGCCCTGTTTAACTGGTTTGACTCGCTTGACTCCGCTGCTGCTGTGCCCAAGGGGTTTGTCATAGAACGCACACCCGGGGAAGGGGATTTTGGGGAGGGGCAAGGAGGAGTGGGAGGGGAGACGGGGGGAGGGGGAGGGTACTTGGAGCGGATGGCTCGGTCGGTGTTCTGTCTGGTGGCAGGGGGGTGGGGTGCTGATGAGACAGCCACTCAGGCGGTGACACTTGGGTGCATCCCAGTGATTATACAGGTGAGAGCTCCTTATCCTTTCAGCTAACAAATACCTTTATTTTCACTCCATATAAATGCTTAGCATCCTTGTGACTTTGCCTGAATCCCCTTTCTCACTCATTCCCCCTTCCTACACCAGCCCAATGTGAGCATGCCATTTGAAGGGGATGGTTTTTTGGACTGGGACGACTTTTCAGTGAGGCTGACTCCGGCCGACATCCCCCACCTCCACGGCATCCTCACCAGCATCCCCCCACAAGAGCTCGCTCTTAAGCAAACTGCACTGCGACGAGTGTGGGTGCACTTTGCATGGGCAAGTTTGCAGTATAATCCGTTCTCTAGGATCCTCGATAAGGAGCAAGGCGAGCTGGCACGTGATGTGGCTTCAGCGGGAGCGTTTCGGAGTGTCATGAGGGCTTTGGCGCAAAGAAAGCAGTCAGTCAAGTTAAGATTCTCGAATTCCTGAGCACTTGTTCAGTGTGTTTTATGTGTGAAACGCATGTATGTTATTTATTACGAACCAGAAGATCCTGCGGATGTTTGTGGACACTTCCGTAACGCGGATTCCCGATGTGTTCGTGACACTCCCAAGGTTGTGCAGTGCAGTGGGCGTTTGGGCACCCACAGTCGATTTGCCCGACAGCCGCCAGAGCGGCGCACACCATCCAACGGTGCACACGGGGACTGCCAGCCAGCCGAAACTCCGCCCGAGCTGACGGAGCGAAGCCACAAACTCGGCATTCCCAAGGTGCAAGGCAGCGGCAGCGAACCAACACCGCTGGAACCCCAGCAGTGAGTGTGAAGTATCCATGACAACAGGATGAACCCTCTCACAGATTCATGAGATGACCACCCAACACGCGATGGATTCATGACTCTCACCAGCACAGCCTCGGATTCTCAGATGCATTATGCCCTTGAGATCATCGGATAAACCACTTGTAACTGCTTAGTCTGTCCACCCTCGGTAGTAGTCCTTAGCCTTGTTGGTCGTTAGCTTCTGTTGCACGCTAGGCGTTAATCAGTGCTCCTTAGGAGCGAGCGTCGCTGGATGGTTGGCGATCTGGCTGGGCGCGAGCTCCTGCGAGGGGTGCAGAGCACGTTGATGCCGCGTGCCCGCGAGTTCGCCGCGCGAGCAGGCCGGGATCCACTCGCCTGCCTGTCCTGGAGCCGAATCGGCCCTGGTGCTCGAGTTCCCACCGTTAGCGGCGAGATCTGCGGAAGCGTGGTTGGGGTGGTGGTTGGGGCTTCGCCGGTCGTTACGGGAGGACTGGGTGACGGCAAGGTGACGCGGCACGGGGAGGGGAGATACACGGTCGGTGGGTGAGGGCATGGCGAGCGGAGGGGAGGCCGGGGTGGCGGTCGCAGATCCGCGGAGCGGAGGCGGGCAGCGGGACGACGAGCGTATGGAGCGACACGACGAGGCATTCCATGCTGACGTGGAAGAGGCGGATGATGACGGGATGATGGACCACTTGAGCGACCCGGGTGTTTATTTCCAGCAGGAGACCGCGAACGAGGCGGCGCTGTCGCAGGCCATGCGATGGTGCAACCCGGACGACGACGTCGCGAACAAGTCCAACTATTCGCACACGACGCCGGTCAGCCCTACCGCCGGAGATCTCGATGGTTCTCCTGGAGAGGATCGCGGGGACGCGGAGTTGGCGCGCGAGGAGGCAGAGAAGCGCACGTCGCTAAGTGACGCGTCGGTGGAGAATGTCGCCCTTTGGAGTCGCAGTCGCACGACGATGGAGCACGACGACTATGCGCACATGTTCGACGCGCACGGCGGACTGCAGCCCGACGGCGACCGCGGTAAGATCCGCGCAGACGGGGACGGGGGAGACGAGGGGGGAGAGAGGGAAGAGAGGGAAAGGTTCGAGGAGGATAGGGACGAAGCGTGTGGTTATCGGGATGGGACGGGAGCAGACAGATTCGGCGCGGATGGAGACTACGATGACGATGACGATAACGATAACCGTCACGGGAACGATGACGTCATGGGGTTCCAGTTCTGGCGCACGTCGCTTCCGCAGGACGGCAGCGCAGACGGGCAGCACGCGGACGATGCGGAGTCGGCGCACGCGGCGGAGTACGGTACCATGTGGCACAATATGACAGGGCACCTCGAGAACATGAAAGATGACTGGGCGGAGGCGCAGGCGGTGGCGGAAGGGGAGGCGGGGAGCGGGGGCGAGGCGGAAGCCGACGACGATACGCGGAGCCAGGCGTCCGCGCATTCCGACACGGCGCTGCTCCTGGATCACCTGCAGCTGGGGGTGTCGGGGCCGCTGTCGGTGCTGCCGTGGGACGAGGAGGCGGAGGAGGAGGCGGCGCAGGAGGCTGCGCGGGATGCGCGGGAGGAGATTCGCGCGGCGCGGGCGGAAATGTACTTCAGCCCGGAGGGGGAGGAAGCGGAAGCGCCAAGAGGGGGAGAAGAGCCGTTTTCCTTGGGCCCGTCCGCCGTTGACGCCAGGGGCGCGGATGGCCTTCCGCAGCGGGACGCTTCCGCCATCCCCGCCGGAGAGGACGTTGGCGCGGGGGATTCCGCAGCCAGTGAGGGCGCAACCAGCGACCAGGCGGGGCGGACCGAGCCCCGCTCGGACATGCTTCTTCCGCGCATCCGCACCACGGGGGACCTCCTCCTCGCCTGTCCGCCCACAGGCGCATCTTCCCCCGTCGGCGCAGCGGCAGCTGGCGCGGACGCCATTGCGGCGGACGCGCAATCCATGCCGGAGCTGGGGGACGTGCAGCTCTCCGCAGTGGAAGGAAGCGCAGGCGCGGGGACCATCGGCTCGGGGGAGGGCATTGGCGGAGCGTCCGCGGGGAAAGCGGCAGGTGTGGCGGGAGGAGAGGCGAAGGAGGCGGGGAAGGCGGGGGAGATGACGGCGATGTGGCTGGCGGGCATCCCGCGCGTGGAGGCGTGGGTGCGGTGCCTCCCGCGCGGGCAGTGGGAGCCGTCTGAGAGCATCGAGCACTGGAGCAGCATCGGCAGCAGCAAGGGCGGCGGCGGCGGAAGCAGCAGCAGCGCGCAACTCCCGCCCCATTCCCCTCCGGCACCCCACCACCACCACCACCATTCCTCCAGCGGCATGAGCAAACGCTCCATGTCGCACGGCCACATGCACGGGGGGGGCGCGGCGGCGGCGGGGAACCTGCAGGCCGCGGTGGCGGTGGGGGCGGCGGCGGCGGCGGAGCATGCGGGGAGGGTGGTGCGCGGGCTGGACAAGCACGCGGCGGCCGTGTACCTGTCCATGCGCGGGCTGCTGGTCGTTCCGCCGCTGGGGGCGTTCTCGTCGCTCAAGACGCTCGACCTGTCGCGCAACAACATCAGTGAGTGGGGTGTGCGGCGTGCGTGCTGCTCTGCGTGTGCAAACTTGCCATTCCCCCCACCTCCCCCCCCCCTCGCCAAGTCTCCTCTCCACCCCCCCATGCCCTCGTGTGTGTGCTGCTTGCAAACTGTCCCTCCCTCTTATCCACAGGGTTTATTCAGCGTTATCCTTCTTGCATTGCGTCGCAACCAAACCCTGGTCTTTTACCACCTCACTAGTTTTCATTCTCAACCCCACTCACCGCGCTGCTTCCAACCACACCACTCACTCCCAGCATTCCTCAAACCTAAGACTGTCGAATAAGGGGCTTGGTACCTCTATCAAAGACACGCCACTGAAAAAGGCATAGACGAGGTCAAGCGATGATACAGAGCGAAAAGGTCGTGGTTTAAGAAAGAACACATGAAGGGGACCTTACAAATTCTCCAACCCCACTTTCCCCCTTTGTCCATCCATCTTGGCAGCGTCGGTGGCAACGGGAGTGCTGCCGCGGTCGCTGCACATCCTGGACCTGTCGCACAACCGCCTGGCCGCCGTGGAGGGGCTGCGAGAGCTCTCACGCCTCAAAGTGCTCAACCTCTCCAACAACCGCCTCGCCCGCATCGGCCACGGTGCGTGCTGGGAGCATTGACGTATAGGAAAAGGGGGGTTGTGCAAAGGGAGGGGGCATTGGCGTGTGGGGAAGAGGGGGTTGTGCAAAGGGAGTGGGTGCCACGGCACGTCCATCGGGCAGGAAGAGCTTTTCTGAGAGAGAGTGGGCGGAATGCCGGGTGCAGGGGGCATGGGGGGTCACACAAAGAGGTAGGGATGAGATGGTGCTTGGGGTCAGTGGAGGCGAGATGGATGTGTGAGTCCGTTGTCCCCCCTAACCCGTCTTTTAACACTCACTTTTCTCTTCCGCCCTCACATCCTCCTTGCTCCCCTTCACCCCCCGTCCCTCGTTCCCGACGCACAGGGCTGTCGGGATGTGTGGCGCTGAGGGAGCTGTACCTGGTGGGCAACAGGGTGGGCGAGGTGGAGGGGCTGCACCGCCTGCTCAAGCTCACCGTGCTCGACCTGGGCGCCAACAAGGTCACCACCACCAAGGCCCTCGGCCAGCTCGCTGCCAACTACGCCTCGCTGCGCGCACTCAACCTCGCGGGGAACCCCATTCACGTGAACCTGGGGGACGATGCGTTCAAGCGCTACCTCATCGGTGCGTTGGGTGCTGTTGGTTCGGTGGGTGGATGGGCTCGTGCATGCTGATGCTTGTGTCTGCTCGGGCTGTTCGTGCGTGAATCTGGCTGGCTGTCTCATATGTGTGAGCATCTCTTGCCCATTCCCTCCCTTCCCCTCCCTTCCCCTCCCCTCCCCTCCTCCCCTCTGTTCCCCCCAGGCCTGCTGCCGCAGCTGCTGTACCTGAACCAGCGCCCTATCAAGACGCCCTCGTCACGCGATGCGCTCTCCGACCCGCTCAAATCGCGCGGGGCCGGCGCGCCCCAGCTGCACCACGGGCACTCTTCGCGCTCTGCCTCCCGCACTGTTGGTACCAGCACCTCACGGCACCGCACTGGTGGGAGCAGCAGCAGTGGGCTCCGGAAGGCTGCGACGGGAGGGACGAGCGGGTCGGCGAGTGGAGGGGGGTCGAAGGATGGGCACCACAGGACGCACCATGGGTCGAGCAGTGGGGCTCACCATTCGTCGCGCACTCGCACGGCCACGGGCGGGCACTCGACGCATCGGAGTAGGTCGGGCGTGGCTAGTGGGAGCAGTGCAGGAGTGGGGGAGAAGTCTCGGCACCACCACCATCATCACCATTGAAGTGGATGCCGTACGGTCGAAAGCTGCTGGGATGGGGCAACATTTTTTGTGGGCATGGCCAGTCCGTATCTAGGTGGGGTTGCTTTGTTGTGTGCTCCAGTTCTTTGATGATTTGTTTCGCATGGTTTAGAGTGTTGTGCTGTTTTGTTTTTAGTGAAATTAGTGGCAGTTGCATATATCATCAGATGCTACAGCTCCGTTGTGTTTGGCAGGAAGGATAGCTTAGCATGTAGGTATGTGGCCATAATTTGATAAAACCTATCTGTTGTTGAATGCTTTGTTGTAACAATTGAGCTTTCGACGCAGAACTCCGTGTGCGGTGGTTCTTTCTACACTTGGTCCTCGATATCTGCGTGACTCCCGCATGTACGAACCGAATGTCCAACGTCCATCCATCACAAGTCATCCTGGGTTCTTCGTTGCTCCACGTTTCAAGATCCGACCATTCTCCTTCCTCCCATCAGCGGGCGCATTGCGTCACGATGATTAGACGGACTCGAATCCCTTCAAATACGACCGCCAATACCCTTGAAGTACGGTCTAGCGAATTGCAGCAGCACATGAAACTGGAGTGGGGGGATGACTGGGTTCGGTCGGTACAGTATCATCTGACAGCTCTTCGAAACCATTCGTACTCGCCGCGTCCTACAATCTCACTCCCTCCGTGAAACTTGCGAAGCGAGCGAGGCGAAGAAAAGGGAAATTGTTTTCCAACAGGGAAAAGGCAGACTTCCAACGGTCCGTCTTGATGCTCCGCACTCACCTCCACCAGTCCCTCAGCAGATTCAAGCTCACTCTCACTCCACCAAAGCAGCCATTTGCTGCCTCCATGTTCGTGTTCGCCTCAAGCTCCCATCTGCGCTGGAGACGCGGCTTGAGAATCTGGAAAGCAGCACAGCAAAATTCGTGGCTGGTTGGCTAGGCGGCCATGGCTGATTCGTCTGACGTGTCACTCCAGCGCAACGTGGGAATTCAAGCTACAGTATTCGCATTCCCGTCAGGCAGGATTACGCCAGCACGCATTGAATTGAGTCGTTTGTGAAGTTTCCGACCTGTTTTCCTTCGCAGTAGCAATTCTCGCGACCTTCTTAGGCTTTTGATTCTCGCTATTGAAATTCATTAGTCTGCATTAGGTCGATCCGTGGTCAACTTAGTAAACTCTGGCGACGATTTGCTGTCTGTTAGCTCCCCTCCACGTCGCCGTTCTCTCCGTTCATCGCAAATGGGTCCGTCAACGTCGCAACGCGATTCCACTTCAGAAGTCTCCATAGTCGTTCCGCTTCTAACCAACGGAAATGACGCCGTAAAAACCGCCGCAAACGGCGGCGCAGATCCCCGGCAGGACGGCTATCTCCCGCTTCTAGAACCATCGCTCAGCCGAGGCTCCACGGGAAGCGACGCGGTGCTGCCGCTGGGCCCTTGCCGGCGGCCGTTGCCGCGGTGGCAGGTGGTGGCGTACGGTACGGGGCACATGCTGAACGACATCACGGCCGCGTGCTGGTTTACCTACCTCCTCATCTACCTCTCCGATATCGGCCTCTCCCCGCAGTACGTCCCCTCGCCCCCTCCCCCGCAATGCGTCGTTTCGGTCGCTCTCGTACGTATGCGGTACTGGCCTTCCAAATAATCACGTGCATCTGATTCCCCTAAGTACGGCCCACTGTCACTAAGTCAACATTGGTCTTTCGTTAGGGACGGTTGAGTCTCGGTCTGTCGCGGAAATTTCTCACGGAATTGGTCGCTCCCATTCGGAAAAATAGCGTTCAGATGCCAGCGACCGGCAGTGAATGTGGGTGCGTGGAGTGCTATCGGGTGTTACAATGCGTGCTTGAATTGGTGGCACAGCTTGTTCATCTGAGTTACCCGAATGCTCTGAAGTTGCCACTGGCAGCTCCCCCTCCTCTCCTTTTCCTTCTCTTCCTCGTTCTGGTCCCTAACCCTGTCCTGGTGCATGATCCCTGGCTCCGCGGGCTCGCGTGCAGGCAGGCAGGCGTGGTGATGCTGTCGGGGCAATTCGCCGATGCTGCTGCCACCCTCGTCGCCGGCGAGCTGGTGAGTGAGTCGCATGCTGGCAAGGGGAGCAATGGTGGACATGGGAAGCGTCGTGACAGTGGTAGCATTGGGAACATGGGTGGACAGGAGCAGTGGGCGTAAGAGGTGCGAATATCAGACAAAACATCCCTGAACGTTTCGGCAAACCTAAAAGCATTCCCATTATGCGTTGAAGGGAAAACGTTTGCAGCAGCAAGTAAACAATGCAATGCATCCCTCCAATCCCTCCCAACCCCTGCAGATCGATCGGTTTGGGCACTACAAGCTGTGGCACTTTGGCGGGTCGGTGTGCACGGTGGTGTCCTTCTCCTCCGTGTTCGGCGGCTGCCTCGTGTGCCGCCTGCTCGGATCCAACTCCACGCTCGTTGAAACCGCCAGCTACAGCGTCTTTGCTGCCGTCTTCAACTGCGGCTGGGCCGCCACCCAGGTGTCTCACATGTGCGTGAGTGGGGCATGCAGGTGTGTGGCACATGTGGGTGGGGCACATGTGGGTGGGGCTAGGGATGAGCAAGGGGCGAACACGAACGTGTTCGTGTTCGCCCCTACACGAACACCGCCGTTTGCCGAACCGAACACTGTTCGGTTCGGCGAACACTTTGAGCAAAAAATGGTGTTCGCCGTTCGCCTGTGAATCCGTGTTCGGGCGAACCTCGAACACGTTCGTGTTCGTTGCGGGGGAAATTGCAGCAGCGGCCCGAACACGAACGTGTTCGGGCGAACATCGAACACTGTTCGGCGAACAATTTAAGCCAAAAAAAAAAACCTGTTCGGTTCGCCTCGAACGTGTTCGAGGCGAACCGAACAGGTGTTCGTTTTTTTGCTCAACCCTAGGTGGGGCACATGTGGGTGGGGCACATGTGGGTGGGGCACATGTGGGTGGGGCACATGTGGGTGGGGCACATGTGGGTGGGGCACATGTGGGTGGGGCAGGCAGGTGTGGCACATGTGCTTGTGACCAGCCTGGCTTCCGTGTCACACTTAAACTGTCTCACATGGCACCCCAGCAGCTGCGTGGCGCACTCACACACATGCGCCCCCTCCCTTTTCTCCCCGGCACTGGGTTTGACACACCCCCAAATCCCGTCTCCCCTCTCGCCTCACTCCCCCGCCCCCATCCCCCTTTCCGCTCCCCTACTCCTTCCCCCCTCCTTCCTCCCAACAGGGCGATGGTGAACTGTCTAACGGCCAACCCCAGCAGCAGGGTGGCGATGAACAGCTGTCGCAACGCCTTCACCATGATCGCCAACCTCGCCCTCTTCGCCATCGCCCTCGCTGCCTTCTCCCTCTTCCCCGCCCACGACCCCGCCCAGGTAAGCTCTCGCCCTCCCACCTGCCCACCACTCTTCCCAGGTGCCCACGACCCCGCCCAGGTGCCCATGACATGGCACTTTCCAGGTGCGTGCTCATGATGGGCGCATGCTGTAGTGCCAGCACACCTCCTTGTGAACGGCCCTCTTTAAGCAATATCTGCTGTTGCTGTTCAATCGGTTGGACCTTGCGAGTTGCCTCAGCATGCCATCTAGACCAACGTAACAACATGGGCCTCGCAGCCCCCCTCATCTTCCCTCCCCTCTCATCACGTACAGGCGCAGTACCAATGGATCTTCCCCCGACCGACCCCTTCCCCTCACACCCTACCTGTCCCCCTCCCCTTCTCCTCCCCTTCTCCCGCTCTCCAGGTGCAGGCGCAGTACCGGTGGATCTCGTTTGTGGCGCTCACCTCGGGCGCCGCCTTCCTGCTCATCTTCTACGTCGGGGTCAGCGAGCCCACGTGAGTGCCACGCCCTGCCGTGCCGTGTCATGCCGTGCCGTGCTTGCGTTATTCACCCCACAGCCTTGTGTATGTGCGTCATCAGTACGCACCACCACCAATCCGCCCCTTCTCTCTCCTTGCCTCTCTCGCCTCTTCCCTCGCCACCCACCCCCCCAGTGTCTCCCGTGTGCCAGTGCGCCTGCCCTCTTCACACTCCTTCTGCACCGACCAATCCGCCGACAACAGCACCGACCAATCACAGCAGTGGGGAGCCAAGGCCGGCCAATCAGAGGCGGGGGAGGAGCAGGCAGTGCCAGCGTGGCTCTTCTGGTTCCGCCAGCTGGCATACTTCCAGGTGGCGGCTGTCTACATGTTCGTGCGACTCATCACCAACGTCTCCCAGGTCAGCAAGGAAACAATAATATGTCCCATCCCAATTCAAGAAGAAAACTGTAATAATTGCCAAATCAGGGAGAAAGCAAAGCATACGTATTTCCCAGGTCAGCAAGTATTTATATCGGTTCAGCAATAATGCCTTCATGTAAAAGCAATGTTACTCAAATAACAGAGATAGCTCTAATTTACAGAAACCTTGCACCCCTAATCCTATTCAAGCCCGTGTGCTGAGCGCACACAGCACTGATCTCACACTCCAGTCCTAAACCGTCTCTCTCTCTCCCTTCCCACTTCCTCCCTCCCTCTTCCCAACCTTCCCTTCCCCCTGCCCCCAGGCCATGCTGCCCTTCTTCCTCATATTCGACCTGGGGCTGCACCCCTCCGCTAAAGCCACCGTGAGCCTCCTCCTCGCCCACCTCCGCCCTGCCTGCGCCCAATGGAACCTGCCTTGCCTGTTCTCACAGCCTGCTGACGCTCATTCATTTCTCCACCACATCTCCTCGCCTCTCCCTTTCTCCCTGCCTCCTCTCTCTGCACCACGCCACACGCCGTCATATCGCAGCGCTCATTTGTCGCTCTCCTTCAATTCTCCTCCCCCCTCTCTCCATATTCCACTCTCTTCCCCTTCCCCTTGCCCCTGTTCTCCGCCACTGCGCGCGCATCAGATCCCAGCGCTCATCTTCATCTGCAGCTTCATCACCTCCATCGTGCTCCAGGTGACCCCCTCTTACTCCCTCTCCTTCATGCCATACTGCTCCAGGTGACCCCCTCTTACTCCCTCTCCTTCATGCCATACTGCTCCAGGTGACCCCCTCTTACTCCCTCTCCTTCATGCCATACTGCTCCAGGTGACCCCCTCTTACTCCCTCTCCTTCATGCCATACTGCTCCAGGTGACCCCCTCTTACTCCCTCTCCTTCATGCCATACTGCTCCAGGTGACCCCCTCTTACTCCCTCTCCTTCATGCCATACTGCTCCAGGTGACCCCCTCTTACTCCCTCTCCTTCATGCCATACTGCTCCAGGTGACCCCCTCTTACTCCCTCTCCTTCATGCCATACTGCTCCAGGTGACCCCCTCTTACTCCCTCTCCTTCATGCCATACTGCTCCAGGTAACCCCCTCTTACTCCCTCTCCTTCATGCCATACTGCTCCAGGTGACCCCCTCTTACTCCCTCTCCTTCATGCCATACTGCTCCAGGTGACCCCCTCTTACTCCCTCTCCTTCATGCCATACTGCTCCAGGTGACCCCCTCTTACTCCCTCTCCTTCATGCCATACTGCTCCAGGTGACCCCCTCTTACTCCCTCTCCTTCATGCCATACTGCTCCAGGTGACCCCCTCTTACTCCCTCTCCTTCATGCCATACTGCTCCAGGTGACCCCCTCTTACTCCCTCTCCTTCATGCCATACTGCTCCAGGTGACCCCCTCTTACTCCCTCTCCTTCATGCCATACTGCTCCAGGTGACCCCCTCTTACTCCCTCTCCTTCATGCCATACTGCTCCAGGTAACCCCCTCTTACTCCCTCTCCTTCATGCCATACTGCTCCAGGTGACCCCCTCTTACTCCCTCTCCTTCATGCCATACTGCTCCAGGTGACCCCCTCTTACTCCCTCTCCTTCATGCCATACTGCTCCAGGTGACCCCCTCTTACTCCCTCTCCTTCATGCCATACTGCTCCAGGTGACCCCCTCTTACTCCCTCTCCTTCATGCCATACTGCTCCAGGTGACCCCCTCTTACTCCCTCTCCTTCATGCCATACTGCTCCAGGTGACCCCCTCTTACTCCCTCTCCTTCATGCCATACTGCTCCAGGTGACCCCCTCTTACTCCCTCTCCTTCATGCCATACTGCTCCAGGTGACCCCCTCTTACTCCCTCTCCTTCATGCCATACTGCTCCAGGTGACCCCCTCTTACTCCCTCTCCTTCATGCCATACTGCTCCAGGTGACCCCCTCTTACTCCCTCTCCTTCATGCCATACTGCTCCAGGTGACCCCCTCTTACTCCCTCTCCTTCATGCCATACTGCTCCAGGTAACCCCCTCTTACTCCCTCTCCTTCATGCCATACTGCTCCAGGTGACCCCCTCTTACTCCCTCTCCTTCATGCCATACTGCTCCAGGTGACCCCCTCTTACTCCCTCTCCTTCATGCCATACTGCTCCAGGTGACCCCCTCTTACTCCCTCTCCTTCATGCCATACTGCTCCAGGTGACCCCCTCTTACTCCCTCTCCTTCATGCCATACTGCTCCAGGTGACCCCCTCTTACTCCCTCTCCTTCATGCCATACTGCTCCAGGTGACCCCCTCTTACTCCCTCTCCTTCATGCCATACTGCTCCAGGTGACCCCCTCTTACTCCCTCTCCTTCATGCCATACTGCTCCAGGTGACCCCCTCTTACTCCCTCTCCTTCATGCCATACTGCTCCAGGTGACCCCCTCTTACTCCCTCTCCTTCATGCCATACTGCTCCAGGTAACCCCCTCTTACTCCCTCTCCTTCATGCCATACTGCTCCAGGTGACCCCCTCTTACTCCCTCTCCTTCATGCCATACTGCTCCAGGTGACCCCCTCTTACTCCCTCTCCTTCATGCCATACTGCTCCAGGTGACCCCCTCTTACTCCCTCTCCTTCATGCCATACTGCTCCAGGTAACCCCTCTCACCACCTCTCACTCATCTCACTCCGCTTCAAGTTATTCCGTCTCACTCACTCTTACTCATCCCATCATTCTCCCAACCCTCAATCCCCATCATCCCTCACTTCCCGTCTCGCCCAATGTATTTGCGCCCTTCTCTTCCCATCTCCTTCCTCCCCACTCTTTTCAAGTCCTTCCCCTTCCCCCGTCCCCCGCCCCCGACCCCACCCATCCTCTTCTCCCCCGCACAGGAGCTGCAGTGGGACATGGGGCGCATGAGGGTGGCGTTCAGCCTGGGAGCAGTGCTGTGGGCGGGGGCGAGTGCAGCGTTCCTCAATGTAGACGCGGGGCCATCCATGGACCTCGTTGTCTATGCCCTCGCCCTCGTTGTTGGCATCTCCAACGCCCTCATGCTCGTACGCCCCCCCTCCCCCCCTACCCCCCTACCCCTCATGTTTGCACTCCCCTCTATTGCGTCGTAGCACTCTTCTGGGCGTATTCTCGTGCCGCTGCAATTCCTTGTATCACTTCACTCATACTCGCCCGTGCACGCCCCGTCACCACCATACTGTGTCGGCTCCGTTGTCTGCTTCCCCAGTGCCCCTCCTCCTCTCCCCTTTTCCTCCATTTCCCCCATCCCATCCCATCCCCACCCATCAGGTGACAGCAACGAGTCTGGAGGGGGTGTTGGTGGGGCAGCACGTGTCGGTGTGTGCGTTTGTGTACGGCTCGCTGTCCTTCCTCGACAAGTTCACCTGCGGCATCGCCCTCGTCGCCATCCAGGCCTTCAACTGTCAGTGCCAAGCCCTGAACCATGCGAGCCTTGCCATAACACAAGTTTCTCTTGCTGCCCCCTGCCCCCTGCCTGCTGCCTGTTTCCTGTATGAGTGGACATGTGACGGGGCATGTGACAGTGTCTAGCACTCCCCTCCCCACACGTCTGTTATCAGTATGTCTTGCTGCTGTGCCAACCCTTCCTCTGCTGTGCCATGCTATGCTGCATTGTGCTGTGCAGCAAAAGAAGAGTTTTGTGGTCCCACCAGCCCCACCTGCCCGCGCTCTATTGTGCGGTGGGTCCTTTTTCTGCTGCCCCTCGTTTCCTCTCTCCTGGCGGGCGGCATTATGCTCACGACACACCTGGACGAGTCGTCAGATGAAATCACCCAGCCATCGTTAGAGAGCCCCTTGCTCGACAATAAAAGTTCAGCTCGGAGCATCGACTCATGATTCGCAGGAAGGTAACGCGCCTTCCACAGGATTAATATATAAAGCTGTAAATGTGGTACTGAAAGGAGATGATAGAGGATCTGTTCTTTCATGTATTATAAAAGCACAAGGCGGTGTATTTTCCTCGCATCTAGCTTCTCGTGTTCGGTACGGTATTACCGAGGGTTGTAGCCACTTTTGATAAACACGTGACCACCACCAACCAACGTTCACTAGAGCACTTCAGTTCCATGATCAGTCGCAAATCCCTGTAATTGGGAATCCCTTTCTAGGACCACCACACTACCTGTCCTGACCAGGCAGGATATCGTTTTTTTTGGCAGTGCGTGAGAGCAAGTTGAGTCGCGGACGCCGTGGGACTTCGTCGCTGCGACGCCGGCCGCACTCTCAGCGGCCGCGATGTCGAAGCGGAAGCAACAACGCAAGGCCAAGGCGGCAGCTCAAGCCGCACCCGCGCGGACACCTGTTGGGTCGTCCGCAGCAGCTGAGAGTGCCACGTCAGCGTGTGACGACCAATCAAAGAGTGCCACGCAGGCAGCTGAGCTACCGACTAGCGTCAGTGATGCTGATTCGTCGCAAGCATCTTCGGCTGGTTGTATTCCTGGATCGGAAGTTTCGGCGAATGATGCGATGGTGGGTGAGGAAGAGGACGAGTCGCCGACTCGCGTTGCCACGTGTCATCACCACAAGGGTTTAGATTTGAAGAAGTTCACTCGCGAGCTGAAGAAGCGCCACGTGGATGCGTGCGATCCGTGCAGCCAACACAGCCTCCGAATGGCCGGCAGCAAGAAGAAGGAACAGGCGGCGCTTATAACGGGTATAGCGGAGGAGTCCCTCTGGGTGTGCCTGGTGTGTGCGCGAAGGTTTTGCGGAGATGCGGTAATGGCGGAAGGGGATGCGGAAACAGGGAAAGGGGATGGCGGAACGGAAGGGGAAGGGGAAAGGGAAGGCATTAGCGCGCGGGAGAGCGGGCACGGGCACGCGCGGCAGCACTGGGGGCAGCTGAAGAGCCACGCGCTGATGGCGCACGCGCAGTCCTTGCGCGTCTGGTGCTTCCGCTGCCACCGCTGCGTGCTGCTGCGCGCCGATGGCGATGTACGCCCGCAGGCAGATGGCGCCGTGTGTGCGCAGGCGGAAGAAAATTCGGTGGGGGAGGGGGCGGAGGGACAGGGGGAGGCGGGAGGGGGAGAGGCGCGGAGTGACACGTCAGCGAATGCTGCGACCACCCATGCGAGTGAAGGGGGGAGCGCTGCTGGGGGTAGTGTTGCGGGGGAAAGTGCGCCATGGGCGCAAAGCCTCCCCTTGGACCATCCGCTCCGCGAGTTCCTCCTGCTGCTGGCGGAGAGGCGCGCGGAAGTGGCGCGCGCTAAGGCAGCGGAGCAGAGCAAAAAGGGGTCGACGGAGGGCGATGCGGGGGGGACAGCGGCGGAGACAGGGGAGAAGCGAGGGAAGGCGAAGGAGGGGCGAGTTGCGGTGGCTGCTGCGAAAGGGAGAGAGAAGAAGAGCGGAGCGGGGAAGGCGGGGGTGTCAGCTGACAAGGTAGAGAAGGAGACGGAAGAGAGGGAGAGTGGAGATGAGGGGGAAGGGGAGGGGGAGCGGCGGGCAGGCGCGGGGGGCGAGGGGCCGGTGCGCGGGTTGAGCAATCTGGGCAACACGTGCTTCTTCAACTCCGTCCTGCAGAACCTCGTCGCGATTCCCGCTCTCCGAGACCACTTCCTCGCCAATCCGGAGCTGCCACGTGTCGAGGCGCCCGCTCTGGCTGAGACGGGGACAGAGAGGCGGGGCGATGGCGGAGGGGGCAATGAAGGTGCGGATGCGGATGGGGGGGATAAGGAGGGGTTAGAGGGGAAGGTCGGCGGAGGGCCGAAGAGGGGAGGAGTGAAGGTGGGGGGGAAGAAGAGGAGATACAAGGGGCCCATCGGAATGGCCCTGAGGCGCGTCTTTGAAGACTTGAATCCGGGCCTCGTCCCCGCTGCTGATTCTGATGCCGCTGGTGCCGTTGCTACTGCCGCCACAGGCAGCCAATCGGAGGAGAGCATCTGCAGTCCGCGCGGCCACGTGGCGAGGGGCAAGGCGCTCCATTCGCGCAGATCAACAGCCCGCGCGGGGGGAGGAGGAAAGCGGGGCGCGGGGGGGAAGCATGGCAAGGGGGGCGGGGGAAAGCGGGCGCAGCAGCACGAGGCGGAGGGCAGGGGGGGAAAAGCGCCGCCTTACAACCCGCGGGAGCTGTTTGGCGCGGTGTGCAGGCATGCACCGCGGTTCAGAGGGTACGAGCAGCAGGACAGTCACGAGCTGCTGCGCTGCCTGCTGCAGCTGCTGCAGGAGGAGGAGGACGGCACTGCTGCCACCGCTGCCGCTGCTGCCCGCAAGAAGAAACGCCAAGCTGCATCCGCTGCTCCCCCGCCCCCTCCCCCGCTTCCCCCCCCGCCCCCGCCTCGCGCTAATGGCCCCCCTCGCGCATCTCCCCCTCCTCCCACCCCTCCTCCGCCGCCGCCCCCTCCTCCCCCCTCCGCCCCGCCGCCTCCCCCTCCTCCCCCCTCCGCCCCGCCGCCTCCCCCTCCTCTCCCATCCCTCCCTGCGGCGAACGCTGCAGGAGGGGCAGGGGGGAAAAAGGAGGGGGGGAAGGCGGAGGGGCAGGGGGGTTCGGGGCCATTGGCGGGGTTGAGTGCGGGGCTGGGCCTGGCCATGGCGCGGCTGAGGCGCGTGGAGGGGGGCGCCGCCGCGGAGGAGGTGCAGCGAATGAGGGAGGAGCGGGGGGACGAGGGGGGAGAGAGCATGGGGCTGGGATGGCTGGAGGGGGACGGGAGCGGGGAAGAGGCAGGCGGGGTGGAAGCAGGGTGGGAGGAAGAGGAGCGGGGCGAGGGGGAAAGCGAGGAGGAGGACGAGGATGGGGAGGAGGCAGGGCGGGATGGGGAGGGGGGACGCGGAGGGGGAGGGGGAGAGAATGGGAAGAGGTTGAGTGTGGTGGAGAGGCTGTTTGGCGGGGTGCTGAGCAGCACAGTGGTGTGCTGCGAGTGCGGGCACTCGTCCACTGTGAGCGAACCCTTCCTCGACCTCTCCCTCCCCATCCCTGTTGCGCCCCCCCCGCCCTCTCCCCGCACGCACATGGCAGCGCAGAGCAGCAGGAAGGCGCATGTTGGTGGGAAGGGGGCGGAGCTGGGCGAGTGGACGGCGGTGGAGAAGAGGGATGGGAAAGGCGGGCGGGGTGGCAAGGGGGAGGCGGCAGGGGGAAGGGAGGCAAAGGCAGAGGAAAGAAGGCAGGAGAGAGGGGAGGGAGGGGCGGTGGAGGGGGTGAAAGGGAGTGTGGGCGATGGGGAAGCGAGCAAAGGACCCACAGAGACTGGCACAGGCAGCAATGATTGCAGTGGCGTTAGCAGCGATGTTAACAGGAACAGCGGTAGCAATGGTAACAGTGGCATCAGCAGCAGCGTGGTGGAAGCAACGCAAGCAGGTGCTGGGAATGGTGAGGCTGCAGCAGAGGCTCGTGATGTGGCAGGTGACGTGTCAAGTGGTGTGGCAGATGGTGTGGCCGGTGACGTGGCAGGTGGAGGTGTGGAAGAGGAACGACAGGGAGCAGCAGTGGGAGAGGGAGAGGGGCGTGGAGGGGATGGTGGCGAGGCTAGTAGCAGTGGCGCTGCTGTGAATGGGAGCGCTGCTGATGGGATGGCTGCTGAGGAGACAGTTGGTGAGGGGAGAGATGCTGGCGAGGAGGGTGGGAAGGAGCAGAGGGTGGGAGAAGAGGCGGGGGAGAGTGATGGGAGTGCGAGGCAAGGTGATAGCAGTGCAGTCACCGGCGCCTGCAGCGGGGCTGACGCCTGCAGCAGAGAGGGCGGCGCTGGCAGTGCCATGGGGAGCAGCAGCATAGGTGCGAGTGTGGCATGCAGCAGCAGTGCAGCGGGCGCACAGGAGGGTGGCGTTGTGAGCTCGAGCACAGAGAAAGGGCAGGGACGGAGGGTGGGATTCCTGTCAGATCAGCCAGAGCAGCCGCCGCAGTCGCAGCCGCAGCCGCAGGCGCAGTCGCAGCAGCTGTCACAGAAGCAGGTGCAGCAGGCGAAGCAGCAGCAGGCAGCGGCGCGCATGTCAGTGGAGGGGTGTCTGTTGGAGTTCAGTGCCGAGGAGGTGCTACGAGGCGACAATGCTTGGGGCTGCGATGGCTGCACCGCCATCAGAAGGAAAGAGGCCAGGCGCAGGCGGAGGGAGGAGCGGAGAGGGAGGAAGGGGAAGGGCGGAGAGGGTATGGGTGTGGTGGATGGTGAAGGGGCGACGGGAGAAGGGACAGAGGGTGTGGCGGCGGTGAGTGGCGAGGCGGATGAGGTAGTGGTGGTGGCATCCAATGCGACCGCAGTAGTTAGCTCTGCACATGATGGGATTGAAAGAAACAATGTGACTGCAGCGAACGGTGTGACTGCAGCAAAGGATGTGACTGCAGCGAAGGATGTGATTGCAGAGAACGGTGTGACTGCAGCGAACGGTGTGACTGCAGCGAACGGTGTGACTGCAGAAAATGTTGACCCTGCGGCGAAGGATGCACCTGCAGCAGGCAGTGTGGCAGCAATAGGCTGTTCCAGTGGCACTGATGACAGCAGTCATGTGGAATGCAGAGTCGTGGAGCATGTGACTGATACTCCTGCCATTCCTGCTGCTGCTCCTGCTGCCGCTGGTGTTGGCGGTGGGGCAGGAGACGAACAAGGGGAGAATGAGGAGGAGGAGGCAGAGGAGGAGGAGGAGGGGGAGGAGGAGGGGGTGCGGGTGCGCAGTGAGGCTCGGAAGCGGTACCGGGTGAACAGGGCGCCGCCCTTGCTGGTGGTGCACCTCAAGCGCTTCCGCCACGACACGCGCGGCCGCCTCTCCAAGATCAGTGGCCACGTGGCGTTCGGGGAGTGGCTGGACCTCAGCCCCTTTGTTGCCCCCCAGCCCCTGTGAGTCCTCCCTTGCGCGTCCTCCCTCTCTTTCTCTTCCGTTTGCTCTTGCTTGTGTCGCTCAATATAGTCTGAAATCCCTGCCGGCCCATTATTGCTGCCTCTCTGCATGCCTATCTTCCACTGCTCCTACCTGTGACATGCCAAACCACTCACTCCTCAACACTCTCCCTTACCATATGCCCTTTCGGTTGCCCCCATGTGGCACTGTCACATGGTCACACAGCACCCCTCCCGCGCACACCACACCATCACCATCAGCACCATCAGCATCGTCCACTTCACCACCCAGGCCGTCGCACATACCGGAGGCACCTCTAGCCATGCAGACAGGTGGCGAGGCGCCATTGGATCGTGTGTTGGAGGACCAGTCTCAGGCCGAGGCCCAGGGTCGGTCCCACCGGTACCGGCTGTGTGGGGTGGTGGAGCATAGCGGCACGATGCGAGGCGGGCACTACGTGGCTTTTGTGCGGCGCGGCTGGCAGCAGCAGCAGCAGCAGCAGCAGCAGCAGCAAGAGGCTGGAGCGGATGTGCACAGCAGTGGCGAAGCAGAGGCAGAAGCATGCAGTGGAGCGGTGCTGGTGCAAGCAAGTAGGGCAGAGGGCAGCGGGGTCACAGGGCAGATCAATGGGGTTACTGCAGAGGGTGATGGGGTGCTGGGGAAGGTGTGTGGTGGTGGGAGTGTAGGGCAGGCAGGGGAGAGTAGGGGATGGGAGGGTGGGCAGTGGTGGTACATCAGTGACACGCACACCCAGGCATCTACCCTAGAGAGAGTGCTGCGCTGTGAAGCCTATCTGCTCTTCTACCACCGCGTAGGGAGCTAGATCCATCCCATGGCAAGTGTTATGCTGATTCCCACAAGGGCCTGGTTTATTTAACTTCCTGTGGTGGTTGCATTAGCCTTGGCAGTGGATCGGAAGTTGTGGGAACACTTCCGCCTGGATTGCTAGGCAACAAGGAGCAGGAGGGATTTACAAGAAATCAGTTGAGATGAAAAGCATTCCTTAGAATCTAATTCTCATCCGTGTACGCAATATTGATGGTACGTGTACAAGCCTATTACCGGTATACTGATGCTTACGAGCACACATTTAGTAACGGACTTTCGCCGCCGCGAGTTTCGCATGGCGCAGAGTGGTCCTCCTCGTCTGGGCAGTGGTGCGCTGTACTGACAGCATGACGCCATCAAGCCAATCGGGACTCGCCTTAGGGATTAGCCGGCGATAGAAAAAGGACCCTCGAGCTTGCCGTTTCGCCTGACTTGTGGTTGTGGTTCACGACGACACGGCTGGGCGTCGCTTGGCGACGTTGATTCGCTGCTATTCTCCGTGCGACGCTACATGCCGTGCCCTCCCTGAGTCTCAACAATTTTTGTCCCGCAAGTCCTGTCCCTCCCGAATCCCGATTCCCGATACCTCCACTGCGATTGACCGACAGGGTTTCCCCCCCTCAACGCTCGTCGTCAGCTTGGCTCATCAGTTGGCAACTGTAGTTTCTGTAACTGCTAAAACTAGTTTGAGCTTAAGTCAGCTTGTATCACTTAGTGATAAGTTACCAAAGAGTCAAGTGAAATCCATGGCCAGACACTGACATCTGTTAGCCCGCTCTCCACTCGCCCGAAGCCGGCACTCGCTGGGGTGGCTTCCGGGCTATCATGGCTGACCATCAACCCGTGACGCCAGAGACGAGTGGTAGGAGACGAGCCAGCCCCTTGAATCCTTCGCTGAACGTTGAGTCGCGTCTGGTTGTGGTAGAGGCGACGGAGGCTGCACGCGATGAATGTTCGAACGGTAACGTTGCAGAATCCAACGACTGTGAAACCAGGGAAGCGGAGAGCCGTCGCGGTCTTAAAGGATCGTCATCTGGACCGTCAGATGATGTTGACGCTCGTTCATCGCGGAAATCAGGAAGAGCTGCGAGCGACCGCGAGACGATTTCGCGCGGAAGCTGGCGTCTTCCCCCATGGATGACCAGCAAGCGGCTGTCGGTCGCCGCAGCGTCCATCCGCAAGTATTTCTCTGTCGACCGATGGCACGAGGTCGAACGGTCATGGATTGACTGGGCTTTCAGCGTGAAGCTTCCTCCGTGGTTCCGCCGCCACGTCACCTTCTACCGTATCCACGTGGCCTGCTTTGTCGTGCTCATCCTCATCGGCACGTTCATCATGTACCTCATTCCGGGCGGCCCGGGCGGCAAAATGAGTTTCATTGACACGCTGTACAGCGTGACGTCAGCCACGTGCCTGACGGGAATGATAAGCGTTGACGTTAACATGTTTTCCGACGGAGCTAACGTTTTCCGTCTGCTGCTCATGATTATCGGCAGTCAGATCACGACGTCGCTCGTCCCTGTGTACGTCCGTCGCTTCTTCTTCCACCGCTACCTCTACCGCGAGGGGTACGTCACGCGCGGCGGCCGCCGGAGCGAACCCGTGGTGACAGTACGGAGCGGAGAGGCGGGGGGGGTGGATGAGATGATCGGGGAAGGCGAGGGTGGCGGGGAGGCCTTGGGGGTGCTGGAGGAGGAGCAGCGTCGCGCATCGGAGGACGATAAGGACACTGACGGGCGCGGTGATGCTGCATTGGGCACCAAGGCCGAGGGGTCAGGTGCGGTGGGGAGTGGTAGAAGCAAGGTGACCCACGTTCAGAGCGACCCGGCTAAGGTGTCCCCGATTGGGTCCAGCGGCGCGAGCAGAGGGCGGGACGGAGCTCTTGTGATTCCCGTTTATGACGCTCCAGCGGGGTCCGACGTGGATGCCACGCGGCAAGATTCCAGCCAGAATGGTCCGAGATCTGCTCGCGCTGATTTGGACGCGCTGCGACTGGACAGCAGCCAGCACGGGCCGCGGTCGGCGCGGTGGGACGGCGACCGGCGTATGTGGGACAGCCCGCGCAACGCGCAGGGGCGGCCGGCGCTGACCCCGCGGAGGGCGTTCGGGCTGGAGGACGCGCTGGAGCGCACAGTGGCGCCGCTTTCGGGGCGGTACCAGGCGGGGGAAGAGAACGCGTGGCACACGTGGTCGGGGGACGTGGCGCGCGCGGAGGGGCAGCGGCTGAAGCTGGCGCTGGAGATCATGCGCGTGCAGCAGCAGCAGCGCGACAGCGAGCAGCGACCGGGGCTGTTCCTCCAGCGCACCCTCTCCTCCAGCACCTGGCGCACTGAGGACGCTGAAGGGGCTAGTGCTGGCGCTGATGCTGAACTGCTGCCCATTGGCCCGGGCGAACGAAGATTCCTGGAACTGAGGTGGGCAGGGAAGGGATGCTGAAATAGGGATTAGGAGAAGAGGGGTTACTGGGGTAGCTGATAGGAGCAGTTTTGTGGCGAGATTATGGCTCTTGTGGTCTGCACTGCACTGCACTGCTCTGCCATCATTCAATCCTGCTTCACCAGGTCCCCTCCCTACCTCCCCACCCCCACCCCCAGTCCCACTCCACAAGTCGCTCACCCATTCTCACTCCCCGCCGGTCATCCGTGCACCGCCCCTACGTCCCACGTCGCACTCCCCTGTGTGCGTGCGCGTGCGCGTGTGGCAGGGCGTTGGAGTTGCTGAGCTGGCTGGTGCCCGTGTACTTCGTGGTGGTGCAGGCCGTGGCCGTGCTGCTCATGCTCGTGCTCGTGCACGTGTCACCGTCCGTTAAACAGGTCGTGGACAGCAACGGCGTCAGCCCCGTCTTCTTCTCCTTCTTCCAGGTGCCCCCCTCTGCCACTCCGCACGCCCTCTCTGCCCCCCCCTTCGTGTGCCTTCTCTGCCACATCTCATGCTCTGTGCCACTCGTGTGTGCCGCATGTGTTGCTTGCTGCCAGCATAAATCATCTCGTGCACGCCATCACCACTGCCCCAATAACCTTTTTCCTGCTCCTCCCCTTCTAACACCCGTCACCCCTGCTCGTCCCTGTCGTCACTGCACGGGGCAGGTGGTGTCATCGTTCAGCAACACGGGGCTGGTGCTGCTCAACAGCAACCTCATGGACTTCAACAGCAACGTGCCGCTGCTGCTGGGCCTCTCCGCGCTCATGCTCCTCGGCAACACCCTCTTCGCCCCCGTGCTGCGTGGCCTGCTGCTGCTGCTGCACCGCGCCGCCAAGGGCGAGAACAAGGTGCCACCTGCCACCACCCCCCGCACTCCTCGTTCCTCGTCCCCTTGCACCCACCGTGTGTGTCACATGTCACGATGCTGCCGCCGCCACTCGACCCGGTCTCACCACCGCCGCCACATGCAGCGCCACACCACCGCGTGCACGCTGCCTTCCCCCGTCATATCTCCGCCATTCTCCACTCCTCTTTCCCTCCCCTCTCCGCCCTGCCTGCCTGCGCCCATTTCTTGCCACCAGGTGGTGTACGAGTATCTGCTGCAGCACCCGCGCAAGTGCTACACGCACCTCTTCCCGCGCTCGTCCACGCTGTGGCTGGTGGCCACGGTGGTGGCGTTCAACAGCATCGAGTTCATCTTCTTCTGCGTCTTCGACTGGAACTCCACCGCCCTTGATGGCCTCTCCAGTGCGTGCCACACCCACGGGGATGGCAGGTGAAGGCATACGCCTTGCTCTGGTTTTTGTTTTACCCTGAGCGTCACAGCAGCGGCGGAGCTCATTGTGCCCTGTGCTGTGCGCGCGGCTGCACTGCACGTCCACGTTGCACAATGGGTGGGCTGTCCACTGTGGCGAGCAGGGGGCCATGGGGTGCCTTGTGCTGTCGGGTGTTCTAATCAATCCTGGGGATGGTTATCATGGGCTGTACTGTACAGTTGGGGATGATAAGTTGTAGATAGAAATTCTCTACGATCATTCTGGCATTAGTTCATCGTTCCTCCCCTCATCCCCCTCTCTTCCCCCACCCTTGCGTCTCTGGTGTGTGGGGTGGCAGGCGGCACGAAGGTGCTGGTGGGGTATTTCCAGTCCATCTGCACGCGCACCACCGGCTACAATGTCGTTGTCCTCGCGCTGCTCTCGCCACCCATGCTCGTGCTCTACATCGGTTTGATGTCAGTCCGCCCACCCTGCATCATGCATGCCTCTGTGCCCCCTGATTTGCTTTCTGGGTGGCCGATGTGCCTCAGCCCTTCCCGCACCTGCCAGCATGGTGCCACCTAACGCGCTTACCGCACACGACACTGCTCCTCATACCATGCTTCGTTCCCTCCCCTGCCCTCCCTCCCCACTTTCCCCTCCCCCAGGAACGTGGCAGTGTATCCGGTGTACCTGGCGCGGCAGACGTCAAGGGAGCAGAGGGAGGTGTACGACGACGAGGACATCGGCGTGTTCTACGAGGACCTGCAGGAGGGCGTGCTGGACGCGGCTGATGTCCCGCGGCCCTTTCCCAACCGGCCTGCATGGCGCCACCTGACATCAACCACACCGCAATGCTCTCTGCCCCCTCATGCCGTACCTCACCCTCCTCTCCCCACTTTCCCGTTTCTCAGGAACGTGGCAGTGTATCCGGTGTACCTGGCGCGGCAGACGTCCCGCGAGCAGCGCGAGGTGTACGACGACGAGGACATCGGCGTGTTCTACGAGGACCTGCAGGAGGGCGTGCTGGACGCGGCTGATGTCCCGCGGCCCTTTCCCAACCGGCCTGCATGGCGCCACCTGACATCAACCACACCGCACTGCTCCCTGCCCCCTCATGCTGTACCTCACCCTCCTCTCCCCACTTTCCCGTTTCTCAGGAACGTGGCAGTGTATCCGGTGTACCTGGCGCGGCAGACGTCCCGCGAGCAGCGCGAGGTGTACGACGACGAGGACATCGGCGTGTTCTACGAGGACCTGCAGGAGGGCGTGCTGGACCCGGGCGTGCTCACGCAGGGCAAGAAGCTCTTCCTGCACGACACGGCGCTCATCTTCTTCGCCATCTTCCTCGTGTGCATCATGGAGAGCGCCATGATCACCTCCGACCCCACCAACTTCTCCATCTTCAACATCATCTTTGAGATCATGAGGTCAGCCATGTGCTTGTGCCATGTGCCGTGTGGCATGCTGCGCTGGCAGCTAAGCCAGCTGCCTGTGACTTGCAGTGAGTGTGAGCGAGAGGGTGAGACGAGAGCAGGCAGCAGGTGCCCGCATGCTGCTCATCGCCCAGACCCACTGCAAGTGCACCCCTTCCTGCCTGCATCGCTCCTTCCCCATCATGCAATCGCCTCTCCTCTCTCCGTGCTCCTGCCTCTCCGAATGTGTCCCTGTGTGCTGTGCTTCCTCATGTCATGTGTGTGCTCGTCTCCTTGCCTGTGTATGTGCATCGTGTGCATGAATGTCTGTACGTGCCCTGTATTTGCATGCTGGATGTGCACACATGCCTGTCACGGCAGTGGCTATGGCAACGTGGGCTTCTCTCTCGGGTACACCTGTCCAGAAGATGCCCCCCCTGGCTGTGTCTCCCCGCCCTACAGCTTCTCAGGTCAGCCGCCCTCTTTGCTCTCTGCTGCTGCTCTCCTCACCCCCTCTGCTTCCGGCCTCTCCTTCCTCGATGAATCCCCTCATCCTCCTCCTCTCCCCACTTAACTTGTTCCCCCTCTCCCTTTCCCTCTCTTCCCCTTCTCATCCTGGGCGAGCGGGGGCAGGGGTGTGGCGCACGGAGGCGAAGGTGGTGATGGTGCTGGTGATGCTGCTGGCGAGGCACCGCGGGCTGCCAGACAACATCGACGCCGCCATTGTCATCCCCGACCAGAAGCAGTTCCATTTCGCCGCTAAGGCTCACGAGGCAGCAGCAGCCTCAGGCACAGACGCAGGTGGGGCAGAGGGTGGGGGAGAGGTTGCAGGGATGGGGCCACGGTTGAGGGGGGGGGGGGGGGTAGAAAGAGGGAATGATGGGAGCCGAGATGACTGTGCTCCTCTCTTGCATGGCCTGTACCATGTGCACCTCCCTGTGCACCTGCACCATGTGCCTGGCAGGGCTTTTTATGGGCCTTTGCATCCGTACTTGCCATGCGATGTGTCATGCAGTGTGTCATGTGTCATGCATTGTGTCACGTGACGTGCCAATGCAATGTCATGCAATTCCCATGCAATGTGTCCATTCTCTCTATGGAATCCAGAGCATGATGAGGTGGAGAGCATTGCGTCGTCGAGGAGGCGAGGCGGCAAGGGGCCTGTGATTCCACACAGGGCCTTGATACGAGCCCACAGCAGCAGCCAGATACTGCTGCCAGGCAGCAGCCTCAGAGCCAGGTAATGTAACACATTTTTGTTTCAGCATCTTTTCTGGTTACATGTAGTGTGCAACGTCTTGATTAAGATTCTATGTTTTCATCTTGCAGTATGGATACGTTTGATCGTTCAACAACACCCACAGCAATGAGGTCGCCTTGACACCAATGTGGTGATTCCAGTGAAACCGAACACGTTATGGGGGAAGTGCTCATCTCTCGAGTTGATGCTGTAGCTATGTAGCCTAGTTAGCATTATGAGCAGCCTTGCCAAGTATGTATGTAATCCGTTACATGAACAAAAGTCGTTAGCTGTTCATGTAGCACCAATCTAGTCCCAGGTTGGTAGGAGTGCAAGTCAATAGAAGTGGGTGTGTTTGCGGCAGTCGGGGAAGGTGTGTTTATCGGACGGATCGCCGCAACTGATGGACTGGAGGTCGGACAGGAGGCCACACCCAGCTCGCATCTCCTCGACCGTCGGATTCGTGTCGCTCTGTTTGCTGCCATGGGGATCAGTTGGTTGGTGGCACCTTGGGATTTGCGAAATTCACTTCCCCCATCCCTCGCTGCCACAGCCAGGTGCTTGCGAAGGGTAGGGCCACCTGGGGGTCCCTAGCTACCCATTCCATTTCATTCCATTCCATCCATCTCTTGGCTTTGCTTCGCCGATGGTCAGGTGAATGGAATGGATGTCTTCGGGCCATGGTTCCAATGTATCGTCTCGTGTCTCCAGCCCTCATCCCTGTCGAATCGAATAGCGTGACGCAATTCGCCTTGTCCAACGAGCATTATGAAAACCCGCCAGCATAGCGACTGACTCACGTGAGTAGCATTCTTCCTCTCTCCTCTGCGAGCACCACCATGTCGTCGCCGTCCTCGCGCACCTACTGGTGCCATCAGTGTGCGACCGTCGCCGCCATCGCGCGCCCTTCCCCCACGCCCTCCATGTGCGGTCCTCGCTGCCCGGCGTGCGGAGGCGGCTTCGTCGAGGAGCTCCCCGCGCGCGCGCTCGCCGCGCCCGCCACGCTCCCCTCGTCGCCCGCGCGTGCCGACCTCTCGTTCGCCGACGCTTGGGATGACATGCGCAGCGTGCTCGCTCAGCGTTCCGAGCACCAGCGCGCCGAGCCGGGGTCATCGCGGTCGTCGTCGCCCGACATCGGCGGAAGCGCCGCCATTGCGCGCGAGGCCGCGTCGCCCCCCACATCCCCATCGCCATCCGACGGCGGCGAGGCTTCCACCGCTCCCACCCGCACAGGCCGCTCCCCGCGTGGACTACGCGACGCCTCTCGCCGCGTCGTCCTGGACTCGCTCGATCCGCGCGACGACGTGCTTCCGCTGGGCTCGCAGCATCGCACGAGCGGTCGCAGGGAGTCGCCGAGCGGCGTGTTCGGCGACTACGGCGACGTCGAGGACGGCTTGGCGCGCTTCCTGCGCGACATGTGGGAGGAGTCGTCGTTCCTGGAGGTCGCCACCGCGCAGCTGCGCGCCAGAAGCGCGCCGATGAGCGACACTGCCCGGGGGCAGGTGCGCGTAGGGACGGAGGGAGTAGGGGGAGGAGGTAGTGAGTGGCGACGACGTTCCATGATGTGGCTCCCCGTGCTGCGCTGTCCCTGTCACGCGCCGCCCTCATGCCACCCCCCCACCCTCGCCTTCCCCCTCATTCTTGTCGCACGAGCTCTTGCTTTCACCCACCCATTCTGGCGTGGCAGGTAGCGGGCAGTGACGACGAGAGTAGCGACGACGCCGTGCCGCCACGCGTGGGTACATCGAACGCAGCGCCAGCTGCAGCGGGCGTCATCAGTGAATCGGGCGAGTTCTCGGGGCGAGAGGGCGACTACTTCCTGGGGGACGACCTCAGCGCGCTCGTGGACCGCATCGCCACCGCACACCCCGCGCCCCACACCAGGTGCCACTCCCCGCCCCACCACTCCTCGCACTCCCCGCTCCCCGCTCTCTCCACCCCCCTCCCCGCGTGTGGCACGCGTGGCGCCCTGCATTGGCGTGGCCTCAGCAGCACCACAGGGCACTCTCTCTCAGTGGTTACAGCAGCGGGGTGAAGACGAATTCGCAACCAAGCTGACCCTCATAGCATTCCATCGCACCCTGATAGTTTTCTCCTTCTCTTGTTTCCCACGTTTGCCCTCCCTTCCCCTTCTGCTCCACCCCCCCCTTCTCCCCGCCCGTCGCTCCCCGCCACCAGCACGCACACGCCAGCGTCGAGGGCGGCGGTGCGGGCGCTGCCGCTGCGCATAGTGCGCGAGGAGGATGTGGCGGGGGGCGTGGCGGCGTGTGCGGTGTGCCACGAGGACATGGGCGTGGGCGCCGTGACGCAGCAGCTCCCGTGCCGCCACGCGTACCACAGCGACTGCATCCTGCCCTGGCTTGCGCAGTCCAACACCTGCCCCGTCTGCCGCTTCCGCCTGCCCTCCCAGGCCGAGGCCGATGCCGCCCCCACGTGCCCCTGGCACCATGGCGCCCTGCTGGGCGCTGAGACGCGCCAGGGGGCTGGCGGTGGTAGGGGCTGGGAGGGTGAGGAGGTGGGGGACGGTGTGGGGTGGTGGGGGGGTTTGGATGGCAGCAGTGGCGGCAGCAGGGATGGGGAGGGGGAGTGGGGGTGGCATGGGATGCAGCAGGCGAGGCAGGGCGGGGGTGCAGGGTCATGGCATGCGGCATCCTCCTTCTCGTCGCTGCTGCATCAACGCATCCACACTGCTGCCCCCACGCCCTGGAGCCAACAGCATCATGCCCATGCCCACGCCCCCTCCCATACCCATCACCATGCCCATGATGCATCCCACGCCCACCGCCCTGCCCGTTCGCCCTCCATGGGCCGTGGGCCCTCGGGTGCCGCCTCCTCTGACCGCTGGCCTGCCCCCTCCGCTGCCTCTTGGCGCGCGTCCGCCTCCTCTGCTCGCCCCTCGCCTGGCGCCACACCCATGCCACTGCATGGCGCGGCGCAGGGCGGCGTGGGGGACAGGGGCGTGCGGCAGGGGGGCATGGAGGAAAGGGGAGTGGGGGGAAGAGCAATGCAGCAGGGTGGCGCGGCAGTGGGGGGGGCGAGCAGCAGGGAGGTGAGGATGCGCAGCGAGGCAGTGAGGCGGGCCGTGGGGTCGTCGTGGGAGGCTTATTTGATGCGCCAGCGCGCCAGGCAGCTGGGGGGAGAGCGGCTGGTGGGGGTAGCCAGGCAGCAGGGGGGGGGAGGAGGCAGGCAGGGGAGCAGTGCAAGGGAGGGGATGCGGGGTGATGCTGTGCAGGGGCGGGGGGAGGGCATGGGAGGAGGAAGAAGTGAGGCAGGGCCGTCGGTGGGAGGGGCTGGGGTGAGTGAAAGGCTTCCTGCTGCTGCTGCTGCTGCTGCAGCGTCTGATGGGCTGGCAGTGTGGCGCCGTGACCTGATTGGTGCAGCGAGAGGCACTGTGTTTGCTGACAGGGGGGAGAGGGAGAGGAGGTGGGGAGGTGGGGCAGTGGCGGTGAGGGGAAGGGTGCAAAGGGAGGGCACGGGGGGCAGCGTGGGTGGGAGTGGCAGTGGCAGTGGCAGCGGCAGTGGCAGTGGTGGTACGAGCTCAGATGAGAGCCGCGAGCTGAGCGAGGCCAGCCCCTCGTCCCCACCGCTCACTCCCTCCTCTCTGGCGCCTGTGCTTGGCAGCAGCGGGCATGGGTCCCCGGAGGGTGGTGTGGGGCGCACAGAAGCAAGGAGGGACAAGCGGAGAGCGAGGGAGGTGCTAGGGAGGGAAGTGGAGGGTGCAGGGAGGAGGCAGGGGGGCGGCATTGAATGGACCCCGCCCTCCCGTTCCTCCACTTCCCCCTCCCTCTCCCCCTCCTCGACCCTCTCCCGCTCCCCCTAACTGCTGCCTCACCCCACCACAGGCTTGTGCAGTGCATGTGGGGCCGCTGTGCCTCGAGTGAGGTGCACTGCATGCACCTGTGCCCAGCATTCAGTGTGTTGCATGTCAGTGATGCTGTGCGGCCATTCACAAAATCCAACCTGCGTTTTTTCGGAATTGCGGCAACGCACATATTAGTTGGTGTAAGCACATCTCCCACCCTGCCCTGCTCTCATCCCAGGCCCTCGTTGCCTGTTCACCTCAAGTGCACAGTTAAAGCCCGGGTACAGCATGGTAATGATCAAGTTCAAGATTCTTGAATTTGAAATCGTCAAAAACAGGGTTACCCTACTTTTTTGCTCAGAACGCTCGCGACTCTGGGACAACGCCTAGCGACACTCTCTCCTAATTGGCTGATGTGCACGATCGCAAAACAGAACCGAGCGTCGCTCAGGTTGGCCCGCTGTTTGGCTCACACATATCTTGATGGCCTAGTAGTACTCATGACCGGCCTAGGCTCTCACGTAAGTAGAAAGCGACAGCGTAGTACCACGTGACCGCGAGTTTTATGGCAACTCTCGTCACTCATGCTGTCTCGACAATAGCTAGGCAGCACAAGCCTAGAATCGCTGTAGATATTTACAAACGTTGTCGCCACACTCACACGGAACGTATGAGCCAAACGAGTGCGACACCATTCTACCCCACGTCTAGCTCGAGTCGTCACCCGCGCTCCCCCTCGCCAGTCGCGCTCCTCCTCGTCACTAGCGCCCGCCCTCGTCACTAGCGCCCGCCCTCGTCACTAGCGCCTGCCCGGGATAGAATGCCTCCCCTCGTCATGCGTTTCCATTCGTCACCCGCGTTTCCCTTTGTCACCCGCGTTTCCCTTCGTCACCCGCGTTTCCCTTCGTCACGTGCGTTTCACTTCGTCACGCGCGTTTCCCTTCGGCACGCGCGTTACCCCTCGTCGCGCAAGTTTCCCCTCGTCACGCGCGTTTCCCCTCGTCTCGCGCGTTTCCCCTCGTCTCGCGCGTATCGCTTCGTCGCGCACATTTCCTCCACTCGCGCCCGCGCCTTCCTGTCACGCGCGCTTCCCCTCGTTGCGCGCTCTCCTCCCCTCGTCTCGCGCGTTTCCCCTCGATACGCGCTATCCTCCCTGGTCTCGCGCGCTTCCCCTCGTGAAGGGCCGAGGGGGAAAGATAGAAGGGGGAGGATGGAGGGGGAGGAACAGAGGGGGGAGGGCAGAGAGTGGGAGACGAAGGGTGAGAGCGGGTTCTTCCCTCACTCCCTCTCCCCATCGACCTCAATTTTCCCAGAGTGTTTACACCCCTCTTTATTTGACCGACCTCCCTTTCTCCCACCAGCTCTGTGTACCCCGCAATCCCTTATCCTTTGCCTCACCTGCTTCCCCCCTCCCACCTCCCTGCTTCCCCCCTCCCTCCACCCTGCTTCCCCCCTCCCTCCGCCCTGCTTCCCCCCTCCCTCCGCCCTGCTTCCCCCCTCCCTCCTCCTTGCTTCTCCCCTCCCTCCTCCCTGCTTCCCCCCTCCTTCCTCCCTGCTTCCCCCCTCCCTCTGCCCTGCTTCCCCCCTCCCTCTGCCCTGCTTCCCCCCTCCCTCTGCCCTGCTTCCCCCCTCCCTCTGCCCTGCTTCCCCCCTCCCTCTGCCCTGCTTCCCCCCTCCCTCCGCCAGGCTTCCCCCCTCCCTTCGCCCTGCTTCCCCCCTCCCTCCGCCAGGCTTCCCCCCTCCCTCTGCCCTGCTTCCCCCCTCCCTCTGCCCTGCTTCCCCCCTCCCTCTGCCCTGCTTCCCCCCTCCCTCTGCCCTGCTTCCCCCCTCCCTCTGCCCTGCTTCCCCCTCCCTCTGCCCTGCTTCCCCCCTCCCACCTCCCTGCTTCCCCCCTCCCTCCACCCTGCTTCCCCCCTCCCTCTGCCCTGCTTCCCCCTCCCTCCGCCCTGCTTCCCCCCTCCCTCCGCCAGGCTTCCCCCCTCCCTTCGCCCTGCTTCCCCCCTCCCTCCGCCAGGCTTCCCCCCTCCCTCTGCCCTGCTTCCCCCCTCCCTCTGCCCTGCTTCCCCCCTCCCTCTGCCCTGCTTCCCCCCTCCCTCTGCCCTGCTTCCCCCCTCCCTCTGCCCTGCTTCCCCCCTCCCACCTCCCTGCTTCCCCCCTCCCTCCACCCTGCTTCCCCCCTCCCTCTGCCCTGCTTCCCCCTCCCTCCGCCCTGCTTCCCCCCTCCCTCCGCCAGGCTTCCCCCCTCCCTTCGCCCTGCTTCCCCCCTCCCTCCGCCAGGCTTCCCCCCTCCCTCTGCCCTGCTTCCCCCCTCCCTCTGCCCTGCTTCCCCCCTCCCTCTGCCCTGCTTCCCCCCTCCCTCTGCCCTGCTTCCCCCTCCCTATGCCCTGCTTTCCCCCTCCCTCCGCCAGGCTTCCCCCCTCCCTTCGCCCTGCTTCCCCCCTCCCTCCGGCAGGCCCAAGGCAGGCCCAAGGCAGCAGCAACTCTTGTTGCTGTGCCTTGGGTGTGGGCTGGTGTGTGCATGCAAGTGCAAGCAGGCCCAAGGCAGCAGCAACAAGAGTTGCTGTGCCTTGGTTGTGGGCTGGTGTGTGCATGCAAGTGCATGCAGGCCCAAGGCAGCAGCAACAAGAGTTGCTGTGCCTTGGGTGAGGGCTGGTGTGTGCATGCAAGTGCAAGCAGGCCCAAGGCAGCAGCAACAAGAGTTGCTGTGCCTTGGGCGTGGGCTGGTGAGTGCATGCAAGTGCAAGCAGGCCCAAGGCAGCAGCAACAAGAGTTGCTGTGCCTTGGGCGTGGGCTGGTGTGTGCATGCAAGTGCAAGCAGGCCCAAGGCAGCAGCAACAAGAGTTGCTGTGCCTTGGGTGTGGGCTGGTGTGTGCATGCAAGTGCAAGCAGTATCGCTGGCACTCACCTGGGCTCTCCTCTCGAGCGACCGGCTTCGGCAGCAGCAACCAGTATCGCTGTTCTATAGTCGAGTAGCAGGGAATTGGGCACTCACCTTGGCTCTCCTCTCGGGCAACCCGCAGGGGCGTGTGCTGCCCCTTGCTACCCGTCAGTGCGCAGTATCCGCTTTGGTTGTGCGCGTGGTGGTCGCCGAGAGCAGCAGTGTGCTCGTCGCCTGGTATGCGGGCTCCGCTCGCCTGGAATGCGGGCTCCGCTCGCCTGGAATGCGGGCTCCGCTCGCCTGGTATGTTGCCTCCGCTCGCCTGGTATGCGGGCTCCGCTCGCCTGGTACGTGGGCTCCGCGCGCCTGGTATGCGGGCTTCGCGCGCCTGGTATGCGGGCTCCGCGCGCCTGGTATGCGGGCTCCGCTCGCCTGGTATGCGGGCTCCGCTCGCCTGGTATGCGGGCTCCGCTCGCCTGGTATTCGGGCTCCGCTCGCCTGGTATGCGGGCTCCCTAAACCCTGGAATGCGGGCTCCGCTGCCTGAAATGCGGGCTCCGCTCGCCTGAAATGCGGGCTCCGCGCGCCTGGTATGCGGGCTCCGCTCGCCTGGTATGCGGGCTCCGTTCGCCTGGTATGCGGGCTCCGCTCGCCGGAAATGCGGGCTCCGCTCGCCTGGAATGCGGGCTCCGCTCGCCTGTAATGCGGGCTCCGCTCGCCTGAAATGCGGGCTCCGCTCGCCTGGTATGCGGGCTCCGCTCGACTGGTATGCGGGCTCCGCGTCGCACAGAACGCGAGCTGCCAAATGCGACGAGCGGGTGCTACTCGGCGCTCGGTACGAGAGCCGAACCACGTTCGCTTTCTTCCCCCTGTCTAGTCACAACGACCCCAATACATTGCCGATTACTCGTTGTGCCTAGCTACCAATAGTCGCCAGACTGTCCTCACTTTTTTTCTGTAAGCACGATCGCGCTTGCACGTTCCTAGACGTTGATGTTGCCAGCTCCTGCGATGGTCGGCTGGCTAGTAATCTGGGGCGAGGAACGTCCCGAACACGTTTCTGTTGTGGCGTTGAGTAGGTGGCGTTGAGACGCAGCACGTGCATTGCTCTGTTTTTCTATGTCCCGTTAGACTCGAGCTGATTCAGTGGTGAGGAGACTTCTGGTGGAGCCACACTATGCATGCCCGATGCAAGAGAGGATGTGTGCGACAAATAGGTCGCTTTGGGTTGGTGAGATTCGCAGGTTTGGTGAGTGCGAAACATTCACTTGTTTGCGGAGGAAAGGTGTTCTCGCCAAAGGCAGCAGGCCGAAATAGGTTTCGCGGATCTCGCATACAGCCTATTTCAACTCCACATAACTTGATAATTTACCATGCTGACCCCGGGCTTTAAAGAGGCGTGCATGAAAGTCTGCCCATAAGCACCCTCATCTGTGATCCGTTGCTGCTTTGCGTGTGAACAAGCACATGCCATGTTGTGAAACACACTATTGTGGACCCTGCACGCAACAAGTGAGCTGCACATGGGGAAACCCTAGGTATCTACCGTATGTCCGCTACTCTACTGCAATAACTTATGAACCCATCTGTGTCTCCAACATACTGCCTAGCACGTGCAAATGAACCAAGACACTGTGTGAAACAGCAAGCCAGCACGTGCGTGTTGCACCGAGCATCCCTTTCTGGCAGCACAAGTGCATGCTCCCGCCACTCCTCACAGACAGCAGCGGAGCGGGCGGGGAGCACTAGTTGGGCAGGACGGGCGGGATGAGGTAGCGGAAGCGGTAGTCAAAGGGCGTGACGACGACGCACTTAGAGGCGGAGACGTTGGCAGCGCCGGTGGGGAGGCAGTTCATGAGCACGACGGCCTGGTTGGTGGGCAGCACGTTCGCCAGCCACTCCAGCAGACTCCACACGTCCGGTGCGAAGTCCGGTAGGTACCTGGTGCATGGAGGGAGGCGAGAGGAGGGAACAGATAATGAGGGATGGAGGAAGGGGGAATTTATAGGGGGTATGGGGCAAGTTGGCATGTTGGCATTAGTGGGTTGGCAGCCCAGCAGCGAGGGGAATGGTGCGGCGAGAGTGATTGTGGTGGCAGTGGTTGGGCGGGTGAAGCTTGGTCTCACCAGTGCAGCAGCTTGGGGATGATGATCTCACCAGTGCAGCAGCTTGGGGATGATGATCTCACCAGTGCAGCAGCTTGGGGATGATGATCTCACCAGTGCAGCAGCTTGGGGATGATGATCTCACCAGTGCAGCAGCTTGGGGATGATGATCTTATTGGCCTCGTTGACGCTCACTGCCGCCCCCAGGTACTCCACCATGGCGCCGCGCAGCTGCTGCTGCACACTCTCCGCCCGGTACACCCGCATCTGAGGATGGAAGGGAGAAGGCGTGGCGGTGGGAGTGGGAGAGTAGGAGGGGGAGTGTGTGAGGTGGAAGGTGGGGGGGGGCAGGGATGGCATGTGGGCCGGGCGAACGGAGGTGGAGGCAGCAAGAGACTCGATGCCAGCGCCAGAGCAGCGAGAGAGAAAGGGAGAGCAGCGGGGAGGAGCGGAATGGGGCACTGACGGAGGGCGAGGAGCGAGTGCCGGAGCAGAGGGCGAAGGACACGAGAGGCTCGGCGCGTGACAGCACACACAGCGAGCGCGCATCGTCGGGGCGGAACGTGGTGCTGGGCAGGGCGCGGATCTGATGGGGGCGGGCAGGGGAGATGGTCCGGGGGAGCAGTGGGGGTGAGGGATGATGAGAGTAGGTGGGGGTGGAAGGAAGATAATGTGGAGGCTGAAGCACGAGGACATAAGATGGAAGCTTCACTACTCGAGCAGTCAAAGGAGAAGGACGACTGAGATATGCTTGATTTCGTGGCACGGTGAGAGCAGATGGGTGATAGGGACTGACAATGTAGGGCTTGTGGGTGGCGGCTCTGAGCACGGCGTGCTCGATGAGCAGCACACTGTACAGCTGGCCGCCTATCAGGAAGCCCACCTGCCATGGCGTGGTGGCATGGGCATGGGTGGCATGGCGTGATGGCATGGGCATGGGTGGCATGGCGTGGTGGCATGGGCATGGGTGGCATGGCGTGGTGGCATGGGCATGGGTGGCATGGCGTGGTGGCATGGGCATGGGTGGCATGGCGTGGTGGCATGGGCATGGGTGGCACAAGAGAGAGTAGTGAGACGACACAATGGGGATAGGCCAGCATCCGCACACTGTCAAGCCCTTTGCTCCCACCATCACACACCACCACTCCCTCAACCCTACTACCACTCCCCCGCTTTCGCTCCCACCATTTATCGTACGAATCGACATGCCATGCGTGTGTGTGCGTGCGTGCGTGCGTGCGTGCGTGCGTGCGTGCGTGTGTGTGTGTGTGTGTGCAGAGGGAGTGGCATGGCACGGACCTTGCTGAAGAGAGCGATGCGGTCAGCAAAGTCAGTGGGCACGGGGATGACGATGTAGATCTGCACGCACGCACACCACGCGGCACACACACAGAAAACAGTGAGGAGGGGAAGGGGAGGGGAGGGGGAGAGGGGCGGCTGGGGCCAGATTGGAGAAAGTGGGTGAACATGGAGAAACGTAGACGAGCAATCCTGGCTGTTTTGGCGCTTTCACTTGGTCCCTCACGGCCTCTTGCTGACAGGCTTGTAGCGGACTGAAAGGCACAGACGGAGCCGCAGCAGCAGAAGCATGATGCAGGAGAAGGAATGACATAGAGTGGCAGCGCGCAGCACTCACGTAGAGCAGCATGGCGTTGTAGATGTTGATCCAGAACGCCAGGCGCTCGTTGTGAGCCAGCAGTGATGGGTCCACCTCCTCCAGCTGCGCTGCCATGGCTCTGTGGTGGGGGAAATGGGGGGGCGAAGCAGGGTGGCACACAGGCAGGCAGGCATAAGAGAGGCGGGGAGAAGGAGAGAGAGGGAGACCCCCTCTCAGCTGCTGGCCCACAAAGCTCCTTCCCATCCGTGCTCCCACTCTCACCGGAAGTGCAGGAGGCGAGTGGCGTCGGCGTGGGTCATGGTGGCCTCGGAGGGCGGGTGCTGCACGGCCAGCATCTGAATGTAGTTGCCCGCGTCGGGGCACGGGTGCTCGCCAAACACGCTGTATGGGTCCAGCTGCGCGCTGCTCAAAGCACTCCACTCCGTGGGCGCCGGCACCTCTCCACTCGTTCCGAAAAACTTCTCAAAGTCGTCTGCTCCCAACTCGCCCTTCTCTGCAGCAGCTGCTGCGGCTGCTGCTGCTGCTGCTCCTGCTGCTGCTGCTGCGCTGCCTGCTGTGTCCTTGACCCCTTGCTTCCCCTTCCCTCCCTTCTCCTTCTCCTTCTCCTTACCCCCCTTCGCCCCTGCCCCAGCCCCCGGAGCGCCAGCAGCAGGGGGAGTGGCAGCGGGGGCGGAGGGAGCAGGGGGGGGCAGCACGCGGGCGACAGCAGTGACCACGCGGGTGGACGTTGTTCTCCCCAGCCGCAGAGCGCCTGCTGCAGCGCTGCCACTGCTGGGCGTGCTGGGGTTTGGAAACTCCCCGTGTCCACCGCCCCCCCTCCTCCCACTGCTGTACGGCGATGCCACATCGCCGCCTCTCCCCTGCTGCTGTGCGCCCGCGCCCCACCCACTGCCCCCCCCGGACGAGCGGTGGTGGCGGTGGCGGTGGCGCAGCCAGAGTGTGGTGGGCGTGCGCGGGCGCAGGCGCGGGCGCAGCGGCGAGGCGGAGGGCGGGCCGAGGAGGTCGAGCTCGGAGGCGCGGAGGTGGCGCAGGTCCACGTCCGTGTCGTCGTCGCCCACCTCCTCCCACTCCGACACCTCCGTCAACGTCGCCTCCTCCATGCTCCCTCCCCCACCCCTCCGCCTCCCCCGCCTCGCCTGCCACTGCCCCCCCCGCCCGTCCCCGTCGTCCCACCCGTGCCGCGCGCCTCTCAGCCCCGAGGGGCTCTCCCCGTCCGTGCTGCTCACGCCGTCCTCCCACGGCCCGCCGCCCACCGCCACGCCGCCATACGCCTGCGGGTACGGCCGCCCTGCCGCGTCCTCGTCGCTGCCGTACCCCTCCCCGCCCCCCCTTGCTGCGCGCTTGTGGCGGCGGGGGGAGGAGCGCGGGGAGTGCGAGGAGGGGTTGGCGGCGCTGCGGCTGCGGAAGAAGGTGCGGCGGCGCGAAGGGGGTTGGTGGGGGGGGCGGGGCAGGGGCGGGTCGGGGAAGGAGAGGGGCTGGGTGGAGGAGCCGAAGGTGGCGGAGCGCGGCGTGGTGGCAAAGCGGTCGGGCGATGTGACGGCGCCAAAGGCATGGCGGCGGTAGATCTCTGTTGGGGGGAGAGGGGTGGTGGATGATGCGTGAGGCGAGCAGTGAACGATGTGAGGAACGAGAAAGGTGAGCGCGACAGGGCAGAAAGACACAGAGCAAGCAGGTGAAACGGTGAAACATGGATGGGATAAAGCAGGGCAAGCGGGGGAATGAGATGAAGGGTGGTTCGCGACTGACGGAGGAGGCAGATGAGCATGTGCTCGGAGAGCAGGTTGGGGTGCGCCCTCAGGTCGTCCACGTCGTCCCGCGCCGTGAAGAGCTCGCACTCGGCGATCTCAAAGTCGCCCGCCTCCATGCTGCGCATGCGCCGTGATGCCTGGCGCAGGGCAGCGGGGGGAGGGCGGTGAGAGGTCGGTGGGATGGCAAAGGGAGGGCAGTAAATGGGTGAGAGGAAGGGAGGAGGCATGGCAGAGAGAGGCAAAGCAAGGCAGTAATGAGGCCGGGAGGCGGGTCTGCAGTGACCTGGTGGAAGATGTGACCTGGTGGAAGATGTGCAGGATGGGGTGTGACCTGGTGGAAGATGTGCAGGATGGTGGAGCCCTCTCCAGGTTCCACGCGGTATGCCTCTGCCGGCCCCACCGCCCGTGAGCTCGGTGTGTTGAGGCCCCCCCACCACCGCCCTGACGCCTTCTCCTTCTCCCCCTTCGCCCCCGCACCCCCCCCTTTGTCTGCATCGGTGCGCGCCAGTGAGAGCGCGCGAGTGAAGCGCGCCGCCAGATCCATCGCCCCGCCTCCCCCTCCCCGCTCCCTCTCCCTCTCCCGCTCCCTCTCCTTCTCCCTTTCCTTCTCCCTCTCCCTCTCCTTCTCCCGCTCCCACTCCCTCTCCCGCTCCCTCTCCCGCTCTCGCTCGCGGTCGGTCTGCCGTCTGTCAGGGGCGGAGCCCCAGAAGCGCGACGACGAGGGCGTGAGTGCGCCTGTGTCCACAGCGCCCTGCATGTCCTCCTCCTCCTCTCCCGCCTCCCTCTCCGCCACCTGCCTCGCCCACCCACCAGCACAGGAGGAGCGGCAGTGAGGAGAACGGGAATGGGTACGAGGTTGAAGAATCAGGCATGCAGGCAGGCACAGTGGCAGGCGGGCAACAAGGGTGGAGAATGGAGTGCCATGGCAGACAGGAAGGTGGGGGCCACGGATCACGTCGCTCCTCACAGCCACTCACCCCCGTCATGCACTCACCCCCGTCATGCACTCACCCCCGTCATGCACTCACCCCCGTCATGCACTCACCCCCGTCATGCACTCACCCCTGTCATGCCACAAATCACGTCGCTCCTCACAGCCACTCACCCCGGTCATGCGGCCATCGAGGGCGCCGCGGCTCTGGTCGATGGCGCGGCGGGAGGAGGTGGGGGTGAAGGGCGCGCACATGGGCTGGGGGGACGCTTCGTCCGACATCCCCTCCTCGCCCTCGCCTCCCCCCGCCCCTCCCCCCACTGCCAGTGGCTCCAGCGCCTGGCGCCGCCCCGAGGCGTTGCGCGAGCGCGAGCGCCAGCGCGAGCGCGGGGAGGGCAGCGGGCCGCTCAGGCTGCGCGCACTGTGGCGGGGGGAGGGCGACGGCGCGTGGGGGGCGGGCTGCGCGAAGTGCGAGGCGGGCAGGGAGCGGCGCGAGGCGGAGGGGGGGCGGCCCATGGAGGGCGCGGGGCTGGCGGAGGCGGTGGAGGGCGAGGCGAGCCAGGGGGGCAGCGCGGAGGAGTGCGGCTCGGAGGTGAGAGAGGCGTCGTCTGGCAGGTCGGAGAGCGAGAGGTCGTGGGGGAAGGAGGAGGCGGGGTCCGGTGGCAGGGAGGAGAAGGATGCGAAGGAGAGCATGACCGCTGCTGCTGCTGGCAGGGCCGTGCCCTGCGCCAACGCCTCGTTGAGCTGGGGTTGGGAGGTTGCGGCGAGGGGGGAAACAGGCGGGAACCAGCAATGTGTGGTGAGGCATGTAGTGTGTTAAGTGGGGTGACACATGCATTCAGAAAACTGCCGTGCGAACGCTACTCCCACCTGCCAGCCACCCTTCCGCCTGCCACTTGACCTCTCACCTGCCACCTGCCCGGCCACCTGCCAGTGGTCCGCTCACCTGCGAGTTTCCCTCTCTCAGCAGCCCCTCGTGCCGCTCCAGCTGCGACAACTGACTCTCCAGCTGCTGTCTGCCATGCCATGGGGTCATGGCGGCATGGGGCATGGGAGAGCATGGAGGCTTGGGGCATTATAGGCGCGAACACTGTACACTCGAGAGATGAGGTGTGGTCATGTGGTACAGAAGCAATCACTTGTTTCCACTCAGCAAGTACAGCTCTCTCACCCCTTGCCACAACACAAACCACACGTGACAACTCACAACATGTGTTACAACTCACATCACGCGTTACAAATCACACACACGTTACAAATTACATCACACGTTACAACTCACAACACACGTTACAGAGCTCACATCATGTGCTGCAGCTCACATCATGTGCTGCAGCTCACATCATGTGCTGCAGCTCACATCATGTGCTGCAACTCACATCATGTGCTGCAACTCACATCATGTGCTGCAACTCACATCATGTGCTGCAACTCACATCATGTGCTGCAACTCACATCATGTGCTGCAACTCACATCATGTGCTGCAACTCACATCATGTGCTGCAACTCACATCATGTGCTGCAGCTGAGCGCGCTGCTCCTCATGCCCTCCGCGGCGCAGCAGGGAGCGGTGCTGGCGGTCGCGGTTGATCCACACGAGGCGCTGCACGTCCATCCACCGCCGCGCCACCCTCACCTCCCCCCTCAGCCACTCCACCTCCGCCGCCTCCCTCCGCGCCTCCTCCTCCTCCTCCTGCCGCCATGCCCCCGCACACCCAGCACAGCCCGTCAGTCAGGCAGCACAGGGGGAAATGGGCGGGGGAAAGAAGGCAAAGCGGGAGGGGGGGGAGGGAGAGAGGATTCCACAAGCAGGAGGGTGAAGGGATGTGGGATGGTGGGGGAAGGGAAGGAGGGAGGGATAGGGAGCAGGTGGAAGAGAGTGATGTGGCCGCGACACCAATGGCAAGGATCACACGGGCCAGGGCGGTGGAGATGGCGAGGGGCGACACAAGGATAGGATGGTAGGAGGCAAGGCAGTAATGGGGAGGGGAGCAGTACCGGGGAGGGGTTGGCAGGCGGGTGGAGGAAGATGCCGGCGTGCAGAAGGTGGTACTCCACCGCACTCCTCCTCGCCCTCCTGCCCTCCACCGCCTCCCGAAGCTCGCCCGTCTGTGCCGTGCAACATGTGGGGCCAGGTGAAGGAAGGTCAAGGGAAACAAAGCACTTGGCATTGGATACACGTGCATGAGAAACGTTTGACAAGGCCTTCTCCTTCTTGCATACTGCACCCTCCTCTCCCATCTCCCCTCATTCTCTCTTCCTCACCTCCCACTTCCCTCGCCTCTAGCCTCTCACACTCCCCAACCGGAGCCTCCCTTTCCCCCAAAATAAGCCTCCCAGCCCTTTCCCCTCTCTCTCCCACCTCCGCCACCAGCCGAGCCACCACGCGGCGTCGCCGCCTCGCCAGGCGCCGTGCTGCCTGCCCTCCCTTGCCGCCCGCTCTGCCGCCCCGTGCAGCCTCCTCAGCAGCGAGGGCGGCAGCGGCCTGCTGGCGGCGCTGCTGCTCCCTCAGCCGCACCACCCTCACCGCCTCGTCCCACGCTCGCTTCTTCTCCGCCTCCTCTGCTCGCCTCCTCTCCTCCTCCATTGCCTCTGCCTCTGTCCCCCCTCCTCCCCCCTGCCCTTGTGGGTCGTGTGGCTGCGTGTGCCACTGGTGCTGCGAGGCCCACTGTGGCTTGGTGCTTGCATTCGCCGCCATCACCGCCGCTGCCAGCACTGCATCCGCGCGCGCCTTGCTCGCCTCTGCTGCACTCTGCTCCGCCACGCCACTCGCCCCCCCCTTGCTGCCCGCCTCCTCCCCCCCTTCCTCCGCGCTCGCTCTATGCCCTGCCTCCCCATCCGTGGCCCCCCCTTCCCGCTCCCCCTCTGCGTCCGCACTCTTCACCGCTGCTCTGCCTGCGCCACTCTGCTGCGCCTCTCTCTCCCCACCCCCCTCGCCACTGGTCCGCAGCACCACCACCCTCTCCGCCGCTGCTGCGCCAGCCCACACATCACCACCACCGCCGCCAGGGGCGAGCAGGGAGGCGGCGCGGCGGCCGGCGCGGCTCTCCCTAACGCTGTCCGAGTGGCTGCGGGGGAACGCCGCTTGCGCCCACCCCACGCCCGCCCCGCCTCGCTGCACCCCGCCCAGCCCCGCCACAGCAGCGCCCACGCCAGGCGGCGCTGCCCACACCTCCCCGGCAGTGTGTGTGCGGGGCACCCCTGCTGGCCCCAGTGGCAGCACCACCACGCCATCGCCCCCCGCACTCGCGTCCCCCGCCAGCACATACGCGTCCCACGCCGCCGCCTCCTCTGCCCGCGCCTCTTCCTCACCCTCTGTCTCCGCCCCGCCCTTACCCTTCCCGCCCCTGCCCGCGCGCTTCCCCCCCAGCCCGCCCTTGGCAAGGCTGCGCACCACGCGTGCGCCCCACCCCATGACGCCGTGCCACGCGGGGCGGCCGGCGGCCTGCCAGGCGGAGGGGTCGGCAGCCAGCAGCGGGGAGAAGGCCGCGTCCATCGACCGCACCCGCCGCACCCGCCTCCCCCGCCCCTCCCCCCCCCGCGCCCTCCGCCTCCCCCTCCGCGCCCTCCCCCTCCTCATGCTGCTCTGGAACTTGCTCGTCCCCCTCAGCACCCCATGCGGCTTGCTCTGCCCCGCCCACCGCTGCGGAAGCGCCTGGCGCTGCAGCAGCGGGCGCTGCCCCTTCTGCTGTGGGGGCGGCTGGTGCAGAAGCAGCAGCGGGCAGGGGAGGCGCGAGCAGGCGGGGCGAGGCGATGTCGCCCGCTGCACCCACGCAGGACTCTAACCGCCCCCTCACTGCCTGCCATGCCGCATCGCCCTCAACACCACCCACCCCGCCATCTTGCCCGTCCACCCCTCCGGTCCCCTTGCCTCCACCCGCCTCCCCCTCCTTGCACCCCTCCTCCTCTTTACCAGAGCCTGGCTCCGCTGCACACTCCCCTCCCTGCATTCCCTCTCCTCCCTCTCTCGCACCCTTTTTCCCCCCATCCTTGCTGCCCCCATCGTTGTTCCGCACAGCCTCCTCCGCCACCTCCCCTTGTGTCGTCTGCTCGCTTCCGCCTGCACTCTCCATCGCCTGCGCGGGCCCTCCTCCTCCCCCTGTCACACTCTCCCCCTCACCAGAGTCTTCACCTTCCGCCCCACCCTCCGCGTCTCCCCCGTTCGCGCGCCTCTTCTCCGCTGCTGCTGGCGCTGCACTCCCTGCTGCCGCCTCTGTTGCCGCCCCTGTGCTATCTGTTGCCGCCCCTGCGCTCTCTGCTGCCGCCCCTGCGCTCTCTGCTGCCGCCCCTGCGCTCTCTGCTGCCGCCCCTGCGCTCTCTGCTGCCTCCCCTGCGCTCTCTGCTGCCGCCCCTGGGCCGTCTGCCCGCGCGGCAGCAGTGGCGGAAGAAGCAGCGTTCCGCGGAGACGCCATGCTGTTGCCAGGGGTCCGCGCGCTTGCCCTCGCCGCCCCGCTGCTGCCATTCGAGCGGGGGGACGACGTGGCATTCCCTGCACTCCCCCTCACCGCGCGCTCGCCTTTGCGCGGTCCCGCGCCCCTCCCTTTGGCGCCCTCCGCTGGCTCCCCGTTCAAATTCGCAGCCCCCTCGCTCCTGCGCCGCCCCTCACCCCTCGCCTTCAATCCCTCTCCCGCCAATTTCTCGGCCCCTCCTCGCCCACTCGCGTCTCGCCCGCCTGTGCGCCGCCCGCTGGTGCCTTCCTTGCTGCGCCGCCCGGGCGCTTCCCTTTCGTTATTCCGCGCCTCAGCCGCGGCCGCGCCATCGCGCTCCCCCACACCCCCATCGTCCTCCATCGCGTCGCTCCCCCGTTCCCCCTCGCCTGCCCCTGCCGCCTCTATCGGCTCCTCCGGTCCCCCCTGCACGGCTTCCGCTTCTGCCCCGCTTGTTTCCGCGCGCTCGCCATTCCCCGCGCTGTCCCTCTCCATTTCCCGCTCCCTCCCTCCGTCCTATTCTCGTCGCCGCCGTCTTTTCCCCGGCCGTCTCTCCGCGCGCGCACCCTAATCCTGGGCAATGGGGAAGTGTGGGCGTTAATGATGCGTCTCAGCCGTCACTGCGCGTGCAGCCTCACGGCCCTCGCGACTCCACCTGGACCGCCACATGTGCCGCCACACAAGAGGCGCTCACATTGCCCACGCGCACGATCGCAGCACTGCCGCCAGGCACAAGGAATGTGAGTGTGGCGAGGTCAGCAACGCGACGCGCAGGAGAGTGCACAGTGGGTCGCCTGGTTAATTAAAAGACTAGCATTAGGGAGCGGACACACAAAGCTTTGGTACGTCACAGTCGTACTCCGTCGCTAGGCTGCGGCGTGATGGGATGGAATGCAGCGGCCGCCACGCCGGCGACGCGCCGTGCGGCACGGCAGGCGGAAGAGCGCAAGTGGCGTCAAGGCGCGACGATCTCGAGGGCTCTCAGACGAATGGGTGGCATGTGCAGTGCGTGTCAACATTGGGGGTGCGCTGGTTGAGTCCAAGTGGGTCGAGGGAGCGTTGTGATCCGCGCGGGAGGTGGTGGTGAACGGGGCGGGTGGGGGGCAGGGCAGGTGGAAAGGAGATCGTTCCGCAAGGGACCGCAGGGCCCACTGGCCAGGCGAAAAGGGTGGCGAACGTGCCTCTCAGCTCAAAAGGGTGTCCATTTCTGCTCACGCTCGCGACCAGGGCAAACTGGTAACCCTGAGTTTACTCGCTTTCGCCCAGTCCATAAGTAAAATTGATAAGAATGCTGTTGTTCAAGCACAGCCCATACCGTACGGTACCTCCATAACAGCCATAGACAACATACTATGCTTCCAGTCACATTGTCACAGCCTAACCTAAATGCTGCTTATATCCAAATCGGCATGCATAAACTACACCCGGTTTCCCATACGCGCCAACAGCCACTACCACGATTCCATTCCATGCCATCCCTCCAGATAAGTGAGCACGGGTAGCAGCACGACACGGTGACAAAGGTGGCATGTCATCCACACGGCCAGTGCCCAAGAGTCACATGTGTGCCACGGGAACTGCTTGCTCATGCTCCGGCGGCCCAAAGCTGCTTGCTGTGGTGGCACTGTTGACACTTGCATTGCCAGGGAATCAGACCAACTGCGTGGAATGGTGCTGAATGGGGCAATCAAGCAGGGGTCAAGCCTGCCCCACTCCCCATGCTCCTCTGACCCACTCCCATGCTTCTCTGACCCACTCCCATGCTTCTCTGACCCACTCCCATGCTTCTCTGACCCACTCTCCAAGTGCTGTTCCACGTCCAACCACACGCCACCCCACCATGCTGCCCCGCCAGCAAGTGTGTGGGCAGGCAGGCATGCATGCAGGGTGGCACTGACAAGGTGCGGCTTGCCCACCTGCCATCCATGCACCTGCTGCCGGCCCATTGCAGCATGGCAGCAGCAGCGCTGCTGGCAGTGCAGCAGCCGCACCGGCGAAGCGTTCGGTGCTTCTGATGTGGCTGTGAAGGGAGGGCATGTGCAAGGGTTGGGACAAAGAAAGCAGACTTGAAGAGATGAGGCAAGTGAGGATTGCACATGGGCCCCACCCCACAACACACATCCCCAGAAAGCCTGGAACCATCCAGCACTGGTACACAGAGCCGCACTGATCTGGTCCAGCATACACGCTCATACAGCCCACCGATTGTGTTGAGTTGTGCTGAAGGAGAAGTGGAGTGGGTCAGGGCCCCCAGGGGTGGTGTGCGCGCTGCATCCAGTGCCACGAGTTGGGCGCCGCTGCTGCTGCCTGCGGGGGCTGCAGAGACGCCTGCGCTGCTGCTGCCTGCGACATAGATGGAGTGGCAGCAGCAGCGTGCATGGCTGGCATGGGCGGGGGAGCAGCGCCTGTGTGTGCACTGCTGCCGGCTGGTGGTGGTGCTGAGGGCGCAGAGAAGGCGGAGGAGGCCATGACCTGATCCACTGCACCCATGCCCCTCTGCACCCCGCCCCCATACTGCTGAACCTCATAGCCCGGGTGCTGCTGCGCATGCAGGTGAGGGAACGGCTGTTGTCCGGCAGCAAGGGGTGCAGCAGAGGGGCCGGCGAAGAAAGAGTTGGGTGCCGCAGCTGCGGGTGGAGGGGTGTGGGTGAGGGACGTGGGCCACACTGCTCCCGCCCCACTCACTTGAGAATAACCACTCTGATACTCGCCGCCTCGCACTGCCGATGGCGGCGCATGAGGGTGCAGAGCGAGTTGGTGTGCCTTGGCCAGCAGCGCACTCAGCTCGTGCTCACTCAACCCCGCGCCCAGCAGCGCCGTCAGCGCAGCAGAGCCACCAGCAGGCGCAGCAGCAGCGGAAGCTGTAGGGGCAGGTGGGGCGGTGGCAGCAGCATGGAGAGGTGCAGCACCCCACAGCCCAGGCAGGTCAGCAGCCGGGTGGCTGGGCTGGCCTGCTGCTGTCTCCATGTACCCATGCGTGGGCGCATGGGCGTGGGCGTGGGTGTGCGCCAGGCGGTGGCGGTCCTGCCCGATCACTCCTGCTCCCGATGGCACGCGACGCAGACTGCCGTCCGCGGCAACAGTGGTGGCAGGCGAAGCAGGCAGGGGTTGCAGGTTGGGCGAGGGTGCAGTGTGCATGGCAGGAGAGGAGGAGCGCGGGGAGGGAGAGGAGGATGGTGGCAGGGAGGACAAGTGCGGTGCGGCGGCGCCACTGAGCCCTGCCAGGAAGTCGCCACCTAACCCCTCACCTCCTGCTGCCAGCAGTCCGTGTGACACCTGCCATGCACCCCCCTCCGCACCTGCCCTGCCCCCACCCCCTGCTGCCTGCACCCCTGCCGCTAGTTTATCGGCCGAATCAGTTGCCCTGGGAGCAGCGGCGTGCAGCACAGCCGGCACAGCAGCAGCAGCAGCACCGGAGGCCCAGGGCTGGAACACAATCATCTCCTCCTCCTCCTCCTCCTGCTCCTCCAAACCACCGTTACCAGCAGCACCCACCAGCACCCCATTGCGGCGCTCGGAGTGAGCGGCGTGAGTGTGTGCGCTGAGCTCGCGCATGTGCTGCTCGCTCTGCTCCGCCGAGCTGTCCATGCCTATCAGCTCCTCCACCGCCCACAGCGGCACGTCCTCCCCATCCCCCTCCCCTTCCTCCTCGCCCTGCCCGTCGTCCCCTGCCTCCACCCCTGCCATCTCCCCCGCAAGCCCCTGCCCCGCGCTTCCCATGCTTGCAGCACCCCACGGCAGGGGCGCAGCAGGCACGTGGTGGTTGGACGCGGGTGCAGGGCGAGCAGGGGCGGCGGAGGCAGTGGCGAGTGACCCTGGTGCCGCCGTGTGTGCACTGCCCGCGCTGGTGCCATGCACCACGTGCGTGGGATGTGGTGCACTGGCAGCAGGCGGCGAGGGCAGCTGATCCGCCACGAGTGAAGCAATGAAGAACCTCCCATGCCGCCTGCTGAAGTGCAACACGCTGCCGCTGCTGCCGTCCCCTGGCGCCCATGCTGCCCCACCTGCACCGCCTTGCACCCATCCCGACAAAGTCAAAGCAGCGCACACAGCCCTCCTGCCCCGCGCCCACGCGGCCTCCTGCCCCTCCGCGCCCCCCGTGCCGCCCTGCCAGCCGTCCACGTCCAGCTGCGCGTCCCTCTGCGCGTCACTTGGCCCCTCACTACACACATGCGGCAGCGGCTCAAAGCCCCGCAGCTCCACGTCCTCCCACAGCCCCACTGCCCCGCCGCTGCTCTCCCCCTGCCCGCCCGCCAGGCCCTGCACGCCCCCCTGGTGCGCCGCCAGCAGCGGTGGCAGCAGGCGGCTGTGCTCCTGCAGCAGGCGGTTGAGCACCACCACGGCCTGCCCCCACATGAACATGCGCGCCGCGCTCTCCCTGTCCTCGCCCCCCCCGCCTGCGCCCTCGCCCGCGTGTCCCCCCGGCCACGACGCCTCATCGTTGGTGCGCGCGGCGAGGTGGGGGTGGGCTGCGAGCCACCGCAGGAAGACGGTGGCGGCGGGGAAGAGCGGCGAGGCGAGGGGCGCGGGGGAGGCGGCGCAGCGCGAGAGCAGGCGGCCGACAAACTCAAAGGCGAGCGTGACGGCGTGGCGCAGGCGGTCCGCCTGCTGCTGCAGCTGCGCGCTGGGGGGCGCGCCCGTGCTGGGCGTGTCATCGGCGTCACTGGCGGGGCGGGGGGCGAAGGGGAAGGCGTGGTGCGGGGCGAGCATGGCGTGCACGGTGCACACGAGGCACGCCACCATCTGCACCACCACTGTGGCCTCCGCGCCCGCGGCGGGGACAGTGGGGCACGCGGAGGATCCCACCGCCAGCACGGGTTGCAGGGCGTGTGGCGGTGCGGCGAGCAGGCGCTCCAAGTCGTTCATGGCCGCCAGATACACGGCGCCGAAGGACTCCAGGCTGCACACGACCCACAGCACGTAGACGGTTAGGCATTGGTGGCAGCGAAAGGCGCGAGGCAAGAAAATGGAGTTTAAGAAGAGAGTGTGAGGAGCGGGAGAGGACCTGGCGTGTGTGAAGAGGATGCCGTTAAGGCGCACGAATCTCGTGCACAGATTCTTCCACGTCACCACCAGTGCCTCAGCGGGCGCTCCTTGTGCCTGCCCCGTTGCCTCCTGCGCCGCCCCTTGTGCTGCTTGAGGCCCCATCGCACCCAGGCGATTGCAGCGATTGGCGTTCTGCACGACCAAGAGACGGGAGAATGGAATGAGTGGGTGTGAGAACCGCCTCGCGACCAACTCCCTCGTCCCATACAGCCGCCACCCTTCGCCCCGCTCACATCACTCCCATACTCCGCCGCGCACACACGGACCCAGTGTGTGTACAGAAGCGGTAAGCACACGTGGCACGTCCTTGGACAGTGGAGGCGGGGGGCGAACGGCCTGGTGGCGCGGCGGCAGGCGGGCAAGGCGAGGCAATGAGGAGCGCGCACCTGGTCGAAGAGGACGAGCAGGTTGGTGCGGCCGGTGGCGAAGGGCTGCTTGCAAGCGATGCAGCGGTAGTAGCGGTACAGCGCCGCCACCTCGCTGCCCCCGTACGTCGCCAGCACTGCCAGCTGCCGCGCCGTGGCGAGAGAAAAGAAGGCGGTGGAGAGAGGCAACAGGGCGGTGAACAGAGGTTACAAAGCGGTGAAGAGAGACAGATAAAAGAACACTTGGAGAGAGAGGAAGAGAGAGGACGAACGCAGGTTGAGAGAGTGGCATGGAGAGGCACAGGAAGGCAGTGAGGCAAAGGCTGAAAGAGGGAGGCAGTGAAGCAAAGGCTGAAAACGGGAGGCAGTGAAGCAAAGGCGGAAAACGGGAGGCAGTGAAGCAAAGGCTGAAAACGGGAAGCAGTGAAGCAAAGGCGGAAAACGGGAGGCAGTGAAGCAAAGGCGGAAAACGGGAGGCAGTGAAGCAAAGGCGGAAAACGGGAGGCAGTGAAGCAAAGGCGGAAAACGGGAGGCAGTGAAGCAAAGGCGGAAAACGGGAGGCAGTGAAGCAAAGGCGGAAAACGGGAGGCAGTGAAGCAAAGGCGGAAAACGGGAGGCAGTGAAGCAAAGGCGGAAAACGGGAGGCAGTGAAGCAAAGGCGGAAAACGGGAGGCAGTGAAGCAAAGGCGGAAAACGGGAGGCAGTGAAGCAAAGGCGGAAAACGGGAGGCAGTGAAGCAAAGGCGGAAAACGGGAGGCAGTGAAGCAAAGGCGGAAAACGGGAGGCAGTGAAGCAAAGGCGGAAAACGGGAGGCAGTGAAGCAAAGGCGGAAAACGGGAGGCAGTGAAGCAAAGGCGGAAAACGGGAGGCAGTGAAGCAAAGGCGGAAAACGGGAGGCAGTGAAGCAAAGGCGGAAAACGGGAGGCAGTGAAGCAAAGACGGAAAACGGGAGGCAGTGAAGCAAAGGCTGAAAACGGGAGGCAGTGAAGCAAAGGCGGAAAACGGGAGGCAGTGAAGCAAAGGCGGAAAACGGGAGGCAGTGAAGCAAAGGCGGAGAACGGGAGGCAGTGAAGCAAAGGCGGAAAACGGGAGGCAGTGAAGCAAAGGCGGAGAACGGGAGGCAGTGAAGCAAAGGCGGAAAACGGGAGGCAGAGAAGCAAAGGCGGAAAAGGGAATTAGGGTTTGTAAGGTGGGTTATGGGGGGCACCTGGTTGTGCGGGTTGCCAGTGGACGGCAGCATGAGCGCCGCTTGCATGTAGTAGCCAGCAGCCACCGACCAATCACGGGTCACCATGTCACAATCGACGACGAGTTCCCGGTAGCGCGCGAGGTCGCCCAGATACACGAGGCACTGCTGGCACGCCGCGCGCCACTTGTCGCCGTCGCCCGCCCTGCCCTGCTGCGACTGTGAGTCTGCGACGCCGCGGTCGCACAGCAGGGCGCGGCGCGCCTTGAGCTTGCCGACGAGCTCGTGGAAGAACCCCGCCGCCTCCGACAGAAACCCGCGGTACACCGCCACCGCGCTCGCCGCTGTCGACGCTTCCGCGCGCTCGCCCGCCCCGTCGGACGCGTTTTGCGGACGCGCTTGCGCACGACGTGTGGCGGGGGACCCGCGGGAGAGGATCGAGACGGACGCGGGCTGGCGATCTTGCGCGGAACCCGCCTTGGAAGTGGCCGGCGCAGAACGGATGCGGCGGATCTGCGCGCGAAACTCCTCGATGCGGTTGTAGTGCAGGCGCCATAGCAGGTAGAGCACGTCGTGATCGACGGCGAAGCGGAAGTCGAGAAAGAGCAGCGCCTCATACGAGTCGCGGATCACCGCCCGCAGCTGCTGCACCGTCGCGTTCCGGGGGCTCTTGCTGGCCAGCAGCGCGCGCAGCTGCTGCTCCTGCTCGCCCACCTGCACCCGGCGCACGCATGGCGCGTCAAAGCGGCTGTAGGGCAAAGGAAGGATAACAACCAAAGCGGATCCAAACACTACGACAGGACCACCGTACCTTCAGCCATCGCCTGCGCACGTCCGGTTGAACCTGAGAAGCTTGGGAATTTGATGCGTTGCCGGTCATCATCCATCATGCTACGCTAAATATCTCATGATTACTCGGCGCGCCAAAGAAGGTCAGCGTCGACGATTAGCTAGGGAAAGAGCAGAGCAGAGAACATACCGATTCCCCAACAACACAACTGAATGGAAAGAGTGGGTGGGGTGGGATGCACGACAATCTCCTTCCGTGCTTCAAAACTCACTCCGCTCGCCTCATCGAATCATCACCCACCACTATGCACCCCCAGGAAGAAATGCTGCGTTCTAAATTGGTCCAGCAGATATCCAGAACGGTTGGGAGGGTATTAGCGGACACTAATGTTAGGGCAACACTCTCGGATTTGCACAATTACACCTATTAGCGCAATTTCAGCTTGGTTCTGGCGCAAAGAAGAGTTCGGCGCCTGCGATGACGGCTCTGTTTGCCGACAAATGCTAAGGAAGCGCACGGATTCCTACAGACGTAGGAAAAACATCGAACGACTTGAATGTTATTGCATATTCGGGTGGTTTATGCTCAAATTCACCTATAATAGCAATTTCAGCTTGGTTCGTGCGCAAAGAAAAGTTCGGCGCCTGCGATAACGGCTGTGTTTGCCGACAAATGCTAAGGAAGCGCATGGATCCCTACATGCGTTTGGAAAAGCACCGGACGGCCTGAATGTTATTGCATATTCGGATGGCCCACGCTCAAATATATTTATCAAAGCAATTCCAGCTTGGTTCGTGCGCAAATAAAAGTTCGGCGCCTGCGATGACGGCTGCGTTTACCGACAAATGCTAAGAAAGCGCATGGATCCCTACAGGCATAAGGAAAAGAATCGAACGACCTGAATGTTCTAGTGTATCTGGATGGTTCATGCTCAAATATACCTACAAGAGCAGTGATGAGAGTAGGGAGAAGGGTGATGAGAGTAGGGAGAAGGGTGATGAGAGTAGGGAGAAGGATGATGAGAGTGGGGAGAAGGGTGATGAGAGTAAGGAGAAGGGTGATGAGAGTAGGGAGAAGGGTGATGAGAGTATGGAGAAGGGAGATGAGAGTAGGGAGAAGGGAGATGAGAGTAGGGAGAAAGGTGATGAAAGTAGGGAGAAGGAAGAAGGGTGATGAGAGTAGGGAGAAGGGTGATGAGAGTAGGGAGAAGGGTGATGAGAGTAGGGAGAAGGATGATGAGAGTGGGAAGAAGGGTGATAAGAGTAAGGAGAAGGGTGATGAGAGTAGGGAGAAGGGTGATGAGAGTAGGGAGAAGGGAGATGAGAGTAGGGAGAAGGGAGATGAGAGTAGGGAGAAAGGTGATGAGAGTAGGGAGAAGGAAGAAGGGTGATGAGAGTAGGGAGAAGGGTGATGAGAGTAGGGAGAAGGGAGATGAGCCTACCGACAAATGGTAGGGAAGCGCATGGATCCCTATAGGCGTAGGGAAAAGCATCGAACGACCCGATTGTTGTTGCATATTCAGGTGGCCCATGTTCAAATACACCTATCAGAGCAACTTCAGATTGGTTCGCGCGCACAGAAAAGTTCGGCGCCCGCGATGACAGCTGTGTCGGCCGACAAATGCTAAGGAAGCGCATGGATCCCTATAGGCGTAGGGAATAGCATCCAACGACCCGAATATTGTTGCATATTCGAGTGCACCATGTTCAAATACACATACCAGAGCAACTTCAGATTGGTTCGCGCGCACAGAAAAGTTCGGCGCCCGCGATGACGGCCGTGCCTGCCCACAAATGCTAAGGAAAGGAAGCACATGGGTGATGAGAGTAGGGAGAAGGGTGATGAGAGAACGGAGAAGGGAGATGAGAGTAGGGAGAAGGGTGATGAGAGTAGGGAGAAGGGTGATGAGATTAGGGAGAAGGGTGATGAGAGTAGGGAGAAGGGTGATGAGAGTAGGGAGAAGGGCGATGAGAGTAGGGAGAAGAGAGATGAGAGTAGGAAGAAGGGTGATGAGAGTAGGGAGAAGGGTGATGAGAGCAGGGAGAAGGGTGATGAGAGTAGAGAGAAGGGTGATGAGAGTAGGGAGAAGGGTGATGAGAGTAGGGAGAAGGATGATGAGAGTAGGGAGAAGGGTGATGAGAGTAGGGAGAAGGGTGATGAGAGTAGGGAGAAGGGTGATGAGTGTAGGGAGAAGGGTGATGAGTAGGGAGAAGGGAGATGAGAGTAGGGAGAAGGGTGATGAGAGTAGGGAGAAGGGTGATAAGAGTAGGGAGAAGGGTGATGAGAGTAGGGAGAAGGGTGATGAGAGTAGTGAGAAGGGAGATGAGAGTAGAGAGAAGGGAGATGAGAGTAGGGAGAAAGGTTATGAGAGTAGGGAGAAAGGAGAAGGGTGATGAGAGTAGGGAGAAAGGTGAGGAGAGTAGGGAGAAGGGAGATGAGCCTGCCAACAAATGCTAAGGAAGCGCATGGATCCCTATAGGCGTTAGGAAAAGCATCCAACGACACGAATATTGTTGCATATTCGGGTGGCCTATATTCAAATGCACCTACCAGAGCTGTCAGAATGTTGTATTTGTCTAGCCTGCAGTGGGGTACTCTATAGCGAGTACAGCCCAATCTAGGGTTTCCTATATGTACTCAACTGCTTGCTAGTGAACCTCCTCCTTTCTTCATTCTTACTTTCTACTGCTAGTTCTGACATGGTATCAGAGCAGGTCGATCCCCTTGGGTCGATCCTGTGGGTGGGCCCACCACCTCACTGCTTCCGCTGCTACTGCTACTCTGTGTGTTGCACGCCCCGTGGCGTGCGACGGATTTTTCATCCCGCCGCGCGCTCGGAGCGTGCGGCGGTTTTCTGCCCGCCGTGCGCCCCGAGGCGCGCGGCGGTTTTCTGCCCGCCGTGCGCCCCGAGGCGCGCGGCGGCTTTCTGCCCCGTCACTCCGCGCGTCGCTCCCGGGAGGCGCTGCGACGGGCGACGGGGACCCGCGCGTCGCCCCCCGTCGCCCGTCGCGGCCTGCGCGACCTGCGTAGGGCCCGCGCGCGGCCCGTACAGCCTGCGCGCGGCCCGTACGGGCTGCGCCAGGCCCGCGCGCGGCCCGTACGGGCTGCGCCAGGCCCGCGCGCGGCCCGTACGGGCAGCGCCAGGCCCGCGCGCGGCCCGTACGGACTGCGCCAGGCCAGGGCGCGCCTCGGGCCGCCCGCACGCGGTTCGTACGGGCTGCGCCAGGCCCGTGGGCGCCCTGTTTTCTCTGCCCCTGCGCTGCCCGCTGTCCCCCGTGCTTCTGACGGCGCCCCACCCCTGCTGCTGCCCGTTCTCCTGAATTAGGGTTTGGGGGTGGGGGGTATGGGGGTGCAGTTTCTGTGCGTCGTCCCCTACTCCTCCTCCTCCTCCGTCTCCCAGTGCTGCAGCTGCCGCTGAGGGGGGTGGGTGTGTGGGAGCCGAAGGAGTGGTACTAGGGGGGTGACGTGCAAGTGGAGTTAGGAGTGAAGCAGTGGGTGTGTGGGGGGTGTGTGGGACAGTTGGAGGAGGTTGAGCGGAGGCTGCTGTCTTGTCGTCCGCAGCACCTGTAGTCCGGGGCGCACTGTCCTGGTAGCCCAGAGAGTCTGCTGCGCCTGTCGCCCGAGGGTCCGTTGCTCCTGTAGCTCGTCGTAGCCCGTGAGCCAGTTACTCCAATAGTCCGGGGCGCACTGTCCCGGTAGCCACTGTGCCAGCAGCTCCTGTTGCCCGTGTGTCTGCAGCTTCAGCCGCCGTCTCTCATCTTCTCTCCTCTCACAGTCCCTCCTCCTCCTCACTTGCCCGCTGTGATTACCTCTAGCTTTGCTTCTTATTGTGAACTCCTGCTATACCTGCTCATTGTGCTGATTACACCCCACTTTGGCTATGGGGGTGTGTCAGAATGTTGTATTTGTCTAGCCTGCAGTGGGGTACTCTATAGCGAGTACAGCCCAATCTAGGGTTTCCTATATGTACTCAACTGCTTGCTAGTGAACCTCCTCCTTTCTTCATTCTTACTTTCTACTGCTAGTTCTGACAAGAGCACCTTCAGCTTGGTTCGCGCGCACGGAAAAGTTTGGCGCCCGCGATGACGGCCGTGCCTGCCGACAAATGCTAAGGAAGCGCATGGATCCCTCTAGGCGTAGGGAAAAGCATCCAACGACCCAAATAATGTTGCATATTCGGGTGGCCCATGTTCAAATACACCTTTCAGAGCAACTTCAGCTTGGTTCGCGCGACAGAAAAGTTCGGCGCCCGCGATGACGGACGTGCCTGCCCACAAATGCTAAGGAAGCTCATGGATCCCTATAGGCGTAGGGAAAAGCTTCGAATGACCCATTCACGTTCACGACCCATTCACGTTCACCCCCATTCACGTTCACCCCCATTCACGTTCACCCCCCTTCACATTCACCCCCATTCACGTTCACCCCCCTTCACGTTCACCCACATGAACATTCACCCCCATTCACGTTCACCCCCATTCATGTTCACCCCCATTCACGTTCACCCCCATTCACGTTCACCCCCATTCACGTTCACCCCCATTCACGTTCACCCCCATTCATGTTCACCCCCATTCACGTTCACCCCCATTCATGTTCACCCCCATTCACGCTCACCCCCATTCACGCTCACCCCGATTCATGTTCACCCCCATTCACGTTCACCCCCCTTCACGTTCACCCCCATTCACGTTCACCCCCATTCACGTTCACCCCCATTCACGCTACCCCTCTTCACGTTCACCCCCATTCACGTTCACCCCCATTCACGTTCACCCCCATTCATGTTCACCCCCTATTCATGTTCACCCCCATTCGCGTTCACCCCCATTCATGTTCACCCCCATTCGCGTTCACCCCCATTCACGTTCACCCCCCATTCATGTTCACCCCCATTCACGTTCACCCCCATTCACGTTCACCCCCATTCACGTTCACCCCCATTCACGTTCACCCCCATTCACGTTCACCCCCATTCATGTTCACCCCCATTCATGTTCACCCCCATCATGTTCACCCCCTATTCATGTTCACCCCCATTCACGTTCACCCCCATTCACGTTCACCCCCATTCACGTTCACCCCCATTCACGTTCACCCCCATTCACGTTCACCCCCATTCACGTTCACCCCCATTCACGTTCACCCCCATTCACGTTCACCCCCATTCACGTTCACCCCTATTCACGTTCACCCCCATTCACGTTCACCCCCATTCACCTTCACCCCCATTCACGGTCACCCCCATTCACGATCACCCCCATTCACGGTCACCCCCATTCACGTTCACCCCCATTCACGTTCACTCCCATTCACGCTCACCCCCATTCACGTTCACCCCCATTCACGTTCACCCCCATTCACGTTCACCCCCATTCACGTTCACCCCCATTCACGTTCACCCCCCTTCACGTTCACCCCCATTCACGTTCACCCCCATTCACGTTCACCCCCATTCACGCTACCCCTCTTCACGTTCACCCCCATTCACGTTCACCCCCATTCACGTTCACCCCCATTCATGTTCACCCCCTATTCATGTTCACCCCCATTCGCGTTCACCCCCATTCATGTTCACCCCCATTCGCGTTCACCCCCATTCACGTTCACCCCCCATTCAGGTTCACCCCCATTCACGTTCACCCCCATTCACGTTCACCCCCATTCACGTTCACCCCCATTCACGTTCACCCCCATTCACGTTCACCCCCATTCATGTTCACCCCCATTCATGTTCACCCCCATCATGTTCACCCCCTATTCATGTTCACCCCCATTCACGTTCACCCCCATTCACGTTCACCCCCATTCACGTTCACCCCCATTCACGTTCACCCCCATTCACGTTCACCCCCATTCACGTTCACCTCCATTCACGTTCACCCCCATTCACGTTCACCCCATTCACGTTCACCCCCATTCACGTTCACCCCATTCACGTTCACCCCCATTCACGTTCACCTCCATTCACGTTCACCCCCATTCACGTTCACCCCCATTCACGTTCATCCCCATTCACGTTCACCCCCATTCACGTTCACCCCCATTCACGTTCACCCCCATTCACGTTCACCCCCATTCACGTTCACCCCCATTCACGTTCACCCCCATTCACGTTCACCCCCATTCACGTTCACCCCCATCCCCTTTTCACGTTCCCCCCATTCACGCTCACCCCCATTCACGTTCACCCCCATTCACGTTCACCGCCATTCACGTTCACCCCCATTCACGGTCACCACCATTCACGGTCACCCCCATTCACGGTCACCCCCATTCACGTTCACCCCCATTCACGTTCACCCCCATTCACGTTCACCCCCATTCACGTTCACCCCCATTCACGTTCACCCCCATTCACGTTCACCTCCATTCACGTTCACCCCCATTCACGTTCACCCCCATTCACGTTCACCCCCATTCACGTTTACCCCCATTCACGTTCACCCCCATTAACGTTCACCCCCATTTACGTTCACCCACATTCACGTTCACCTCCATCCCCTTTTCATGTTCACCCCCACTCACGTTCACCCGCATTCTCGTTCACCCCCATACATGTTCACCCCCATTCACGTTCACCCCCATTCACGTTCACCTCCATCCCCTTTTCACGTTCACCCCCATTCACGTTCACCCCTATTCACGTTCACCCCCATTCACGTTCACCCCCATTCACATTCACCCCCATTCACGGTCACCCCCATTCACGATCACCCCCATTCACGGTCACCCCCATTCACGTTCACCCCCATTCACGTTCACCCCCATTCATGTTCACCCCCATTCATGTTCATCCCCATTCACGTTCACCCCCATTCACGTTCACCCCTATCTCATTTTCACGTTCACCTCCATTCACGTTCACCCCCATTCACGTTCACCCCCATTCACGTTCGCCCCCATTCATGTTCATCCCCATTCACGTTCACCCCCATTCACGTTCACCCCCAATCACGTTCACCCCCAATCACGTTCATCCCCATTCATGTTCACCCCCATTCATGTTCACCCCCATTCATGTTCATCCCCATGCATGTTCACCCCCATTCACGTTCACCCCCATGCATGCACTTCCTGCACATGTGCGGATCCTTCCGCGTTTTGAGGGTGGAAGCGCTCATTCTGAGCTTTTTTCTTCCGCCGGGTCATGTGGCTACGCTTGTCCGGGCCTATTACCAAGCCAGCAAGGGTGTGGGAGGGTTG